ACAATCATCAGGTGGTGAAGGCACTATCTTGCTGAGATTTTATCATGCAAGTTCCATTTTCTTTGCAGGAAAAGCAAAAGACCAAAGTCAAAGAAAAAATTGACAAGTGTAATAAAGAGAAATTATTGGAATTGTGTGATGTGCTTGACATTCCTGTTGTGAAGGCTTCCACAAGGAAGGTCTGTTCGGTAATCTTTGTTGCTGTACTTGCATTCCTAGGTCTGCATTTGGGATAGTTTTCTCTACACAGTTCATAGAATGAGTATGAAAAGTTCAGATCTAATACATGGTCAAATCCTAATAATCAAACAACAGCATTTTCATTAAAATTTGCATCCTAATAATGAGGATTTATTTCAAATTGGATCATTCTTTGCCAATATCATATGCAATCATCACTTATTGTTCGTGTACTGAACTTTCGTTCTATAATGTGCCTTGGATAATTTATCTGCTATGAGGCCATCCATGGTAACAACTTTTAGCAAACCTAACAATGCTTGCATTGATTTAGTAAATAATTGCAACTTTCAAATAGCACCTAAACTCACAAAGTTAAAAAAATGTAGACAAATGAATACTCTAGAACAAATCAAAGTAAAATTGTTTCTTGTTTTGTTGCTAGAAGGAAATATTGTGTTGGCATTGTTCTTATAAATGGTATTTGGGGGAGAAGGTTTTTGTTGGGGAGATTTTTAACGTTGAAACTCAAAGGTTTGGTTCTCTTTTTCAAATATAGAATGCATATATATTCTTTCCGTTGCATTAGTCTGATGTTAATTTTCTAAGTTGATTCAGGAAGATATTGTTGGCAAGCTTATAGAATTTTTAATAGCTCCTCATGCTACAACTACTGTTCTCACAGAAAAAGAAAAGGTGATTTTTTCCCTTCCTGATTGCGAAAGAAAGTTTTCCCAATCGTATGTTTCCTTATATTTACTAAAATCTGGATCTAGTTTCTTAAATTATCTTGTGCATTACAGTCGAGCAATGGTAAAAAGCGTAAACGGGCGGTAAAAGGAGGAATGTCAACTCCTGGAGACAATAGTTCTGAACATTCACCAAAGGTGACATTCTTATCTCAATGAGAGTATAATTGGTGATTTACTCTAGGCCCTGTTTTTATCCATCTTGACTCTTATATAATATCATACGTGCAACATCCATTTCTGGAACTAGTTTTTGTCTTTGCATTTTCCTGTTGTGTCTTTATCTTCAGTAGAAGGTAGACGGTGTCTTTGCATTTTCCTCTGATTCTGAGGAAGTTGCCGAGCTATGTTGTTCTTCATGAAAAGATATTTTCTTGATTTCTCTTTTATTTTCCGTATTTCTTATTTTTAAAGCAAATTATTTGTTTTAATACTTACTCTCCTTGCATTTCATAAGTTTGGAAAATGATTGCCGGTAATTTAGTGTCTGGCCATAAATCCTTGAAATTGTTGCTTAAGTTTGATTCTTGTAAATTGGGGGGCCCTTTGTCATTGTAGGGTCATTTTTTTTTTTTTTTTTTTTTTTTTGTTATTGTTGTTAATGCCCTTCTTCCAAAGGAAAACTGAAAGCTTGAAAAACTGAATGAAGGAAATGCTGGATGCATTCAAGTTTGCAGAATCGTTTACCTCATTTTTCTTTGATTTGCAAAGAAGTAAATGATAAGATTCATTTTAAAGCATTTGAATTGAGCCCTCTTTATCACATGTTGTCATTGACACCTTTGTCTTCAGGATTCTGAGAAAATAATTTAATTAGGTGTGTTTGGTCTGCTTTTTAAAATACTTATGGAAGACTAAAGTGTATTTTTAAAAATTAGTAGTGCATGGTTAAAATTTCAATGAATGCATTTACCTAATTAAAAATTTTCAATAACCACAATAGTTTGAGAAATTCTAAGAATAGATAAAAAGATTTATATCGAAAGTGCTTTTAGATGAAGTTTTTAATTAGTTTTCTTCCAAAATTGCTTAGAGTAAATGATTCCCTACTAGAATCCTAAAGTCATCCTTAGTTTACTCATGGGAGTTTTAACTGTCTCATGATTATTTGACCTCCTATGCGGTAGTTCTGTAGTTTATGATTTAAAGAACATTCAAGCTTGTTTAGATGCTGCTGGTTCCTAGGTGCGTTTGAGTCAATCTAATGACCATTCCTCCAGCCCTGATCAATGGTCCTTGTGGTTGGCCTAGATTTGAAGCAATTATCCCACATATTGCTTCCTCATTTCTCGTGTTGTGTGTGCGACTATGAGTCTCCCTTTATTGGCATACATAATAGAAGTCCACTAGGCATTTATTGTTTCTAAAAAAAGACATAGATGTCTGTTAGAAGGGCAGACCTCTAAGGAAAGATAGGGAAGAGTACTTGGCCTCTTGTAGTGTGCTTGGAATGCTGTATTATTTTCCTTTGTTTATATTAATACAAGAGGTCTCCCGAGACCGCACTTTGCTAATCACAACTGAAAATCTTTAGTTTGTGATAGTTTATCTAAACGTATAGGTTTTTTTACTTTATTTTATTTCCTGGGTCGAGTGTAGAGTCGTAGAAAAAGGGGAAATACTGCGAGATCTGAGCTGACAAAAAATTCAAGTGATGAAGATGATGAGTTAGAAGAAAAGGAAGCAGAAGAAGAAAATGACAAGGAAAATGAGAATGAAATCACGGAAAAATCCGATGATGAAATGTCCGAGCAGCCAAAAAGTGAAGATATCAATGACCCAACTGATGAATCTGAGGAAGAAAAACCCAGATCAAGTTCAAGAAGTTCATCCAGAAAGAGGGGATCTGTAAGAAAAGCAACAAGCAAGAAAGCTATAGGCTCCAACAAATCTGATTCAGCAAAATTGACAGCAAAGAGGACATCGTCAAGTCTTGCTAAGGTTGATGATAGTGATGCTAGTCCAAAGGTATTCTCTAGGAAGAAGAATAGTGAAAAAGTAAGCAAGGCCTCAACTCCATCAAAATCTGCTGCCAAGGAGAAGCCTGGTATCTTTCATATCTCATTCAATTCTTATCTTCTTTTGTTCCATTTTTTTTCTTGTCTGGGATATTAAAATATGGTGCTTTTCATTATTATTCTTCTGAACTCCAAATTTTCTGGTATTATATTAATCTGTTTGGGACCGAAAGAGATGATGGAAGCTGCGATCTAAATTTCATTATTTAAACCGTTGTTGTATGTTTAGGGAAAAAGATTATAAAAAGGAAAGACAAAACCAAGGAGGAGAAAACAAGGCCCAGTGACGATGAACTCAGGGAAGCAATATGTGAAATTCTTAAAGTAGTTGACTTCACTACAGTAAGTGTCATTATAATCATACTGACTACTGTATTGATATTTGTTCTCAACTGCTATCATTTTCATGTTTTTACAAGAATTAACAATCACTCGATCGTCTCTTCTCAAACGATGCATAGATGAGCTATTAGATTCTTTTTTGTGCTATGCAACATATTATGACTTTTAAAGCTGTAATAGTACATGCATATTCACTTGTTTGTATTGAATTTTCTGCAATTGAAGAACCAAAAAGCCTTTACAAAAGCAAGCTGGTTAGGCGATAGTTGTGGTTCTAAATAGCTTATTTTTGTCTCACGCAGGCCACCTTCACCGACATTCTGAAGCAACTTGGTACATTTCTTGTCTATTGGGATATTTCTGTGGTTTGTTGAGTTTACAATTTACAAGTGCTGCATTTAATTCTTACAATAAATAGTAGAAATCATTATACCTTCTGTGAGAATATTGAATCAAGAAATCTGGTTGGTTTTGAAGTTTGTTTCAGGTTTTCTTTTGTGAGTAGCCATTTTAAACGTAGCTAGCTATGTGTTTCTATGGACTACTTTTAAATTTTTAGTTCTTTTATAAGTATTGAAAAATGGCAGCCTCTAATCTGCCTGTGATTTCTCAGCTCGGCAATTCAAGACAGATCTCACGTCCCAAAAGTCGTCGATAAAACTTATGATCCAAGAAGAGCTTACGAAACTGGCAGACGAAGCAGAAGAAGAAGATGGCAACGCCGAAGCCGACGCCGAGAAGGATGGAAAACAGGTAGCTCAAGAGGTGGAAACTTGAGACTAAGAGTTGGCCCTGGGATTTGTCTTAACATACAAGAAAGCTCTGAAAATCAGTCCTTGTTGTAAAGGTGGGTGTAATTTATAGGTTGGTGCATCATCATCATCATCAGCATCATCATCATCATCAGCATCATCATCATCATCAGCATCATCATCATGTTTACTGCTAATGAAAGGTTAGTGTTTCTATTAGAAACAAGGCTTGTTGTTATAAATATTGCAGCTCTTTTTTCCTTTTTTTTTATACTGACATATAATTCTGTTAGAAATAATAATTTCCATGAATATATATACTGACCATTAAGAAGGGGTTGTTTAGCCCTTTGGAGTTTTTTTTTTTTTTTTTTTTTTTTTAATCTATTGAATTCTCTTTATTTGGCCCATTTTTGTTATTTTTTTAGTTAGGCAAAAGACAAAACATGTCCACTTAAAAAGTAATGGAGCACTTCATTGGTAGTGACCAATCAAAGAAGAGAAAACAAGAATTATTCAAAGTGGTGGGGGCACGTGATATGCACGCATGCTTTCCAAATCTGTCAAAAAAGTATTTTTGAGAAGGAAAAATAAATTTCCATATTATTATAACCTCTTTTGAAAAATAAAATGTAATATATTATTATTTTTAATTACATAAAAATAAATATGTTTTTTTTTTTTTAGACTAAAATAAATGTATATGATTATTCATTTTTTTTAGAAGTTTTATTTTTAAAAAATAATATTTAAAGTTTGGTACAATGGATAGTATTTAATTTTATAAATTATAAAATTTTAAGTAGGTGTTAAACAAATTCTTAATAAATATATAAAAATTTTAATTTTGTATCTAATTGTGAGAATTAAAGAGCGGGATTTGTATATTTAAAAAAAAAAAAAAAAAAAAAAAATCGTTAAAATATGTAAAAATTAGAGTTTTGAATATATAGATATTGCAGCGTAATTTGGATACCTTTTGTTCTCCATTGGCAGCAACTTGATTACTATCCCATCCCCATCCTCTACAAGAAGAATCTCTCTCACACCCAATTTATTTCCATTTCAGAAACCCTAATTCCTCTTCCTTCCTTCCTTCCTTCCTTCCTTCCATGGCGGACTCCGACAACGACTCCGGTGGAGGCTACCAGAAATCGCCGTCTCCGCGGGAGCACGACAGACTTCTCCCGATCGCCAACGTTGGCCGGATCATGAAGAAAGCTCTCCCTGGGAACGCCAAGATCTCAAAGGACGCCAAAGAGATCGTCCAAGAGTGCGTCTCCGAGTTCATCAGCTTCGTCACTGGTGAGGCCTCCGACAAGTGCCACAACGAGAAGCGCAAGACTATCAACGGCGATGATTTACTTTGGGCCATGGCTACCTTAGGGTTCGAAGACTATGTCGATCCTCTCAAGCTTTATCTCCAGCGCTTTCGAGAAATTGAAGGCGAAAGGACCGCGCTAGCCTCGCGTGACTCCTCCTCCTCCGCCGCCGCCACCGCCACCGCCGCCGCCGGGGCTGCGAATAGTGCTTTCTTTGACGGCGGCGGGGAGTTCGGGGGTGGGATGGGGATGACGATGACGATGCCTCCGAATGTTTACGGGTCGAATGGGCCGCGTTGGGATGGGCCTGGGTTTACTACTACGGGTCGGCCCAGGTAGATGGGTGAGCCTAGCCCAGCCCAGCCCAGCCCAGCCCATTGCTTTTGATTGGGCCCGGCTCTGTACACTACATTCATAACCGTTACCACGACGGCGACGGCATCTGCGAAATCTCCATTTTATCCTCCATAAAATGAAGATGGGTAGCTGAGGGAGGTGAAGCCTTAATTTTATAAAAATATATTGACGTAGATAAATAATATGAATTAATGTATTTTGATTATATAAATATGCATTTAATGATTTTTAAATTTATTATTATGATTATGTTGAATTGTTACTTTGCTTCCTAATATTTTTAATTAGTTTGTTTACTTATTTACTCTAAAAAGGTTCTAATAATTTCATAAGCTCCTCTATCTTGAGACTAATTAAGTTCATTTTGTTAACTCTAGTTTAATGCTTATCAATGGATGCCCTTAAACATTAGCCTAAAAGTACGCTCCGATGTATTGTAATTTTCGCCTTTGGTTCATTTTGATTTATGAGTTATCAATTTTTGGTTCATGTAATTTCAATTTTATATATTTTCTAAACCAACCTAAATTTTCGAAGTCATTGGTTAGTGAAAATGCGACAAATGGTTAAAGTGGTTCTTGATGAACAATCGAGGACTATGTATTCGATACGTGAATAAAGGAGGGCACATGAATAAATCGAGACTACATTTGAATGAGAGCGATTATGAGAATAGAAAAACTAAGAAAGAATGGAAAATCACTCCCTTTTACCCCATATGTTTTACTTAAAACAATTTTATGTTGAGTGAACTCTTAAGAATTTTCCTCTGATGCAGGTGAATAAGGACAAAACGTGTTGATCTGTGTAATATTCACTCTTAGGAAATGAAGGGTAACGTGACCCTGTCATAGAAGATATAGGGGAATGTTGGATCACATGCGCCTAATCTAGATTCTGAATCTTAGGCATGGGTCCTTATCACACAAGCGCCTAATCTAGATTCTGAATTTTAGGCATGGGTCCTTATCACACAAGCGCCTAATCTAGATTCTGAATTTTAGGCATGGGTCCTTATCACACACGCCTAATCTAGATTCTGAATCTTAAGCATGGGTCCTTATCAAACCGGCACCTAATCTAGATTCTGAATCTTAGGCATGGGTCCTTACAATTATTTGAGGTAATTGAAAAAAAAAATCCACTACTATTGTATATAATAATTGAAAATTAGTCTTTTATGCTTTTCACTGGTGGACTATTATTTCCATAATTGCAATTATTGTACAACTGCTTTTTGAAAAGGGACTCAATTATCATCCATTCAATTGTATTTCTTTTATAAACAAACATTAATATTTATTTAATTATATGATTTCTCATAATTTCATATTCAATTTTCCATTTTTAAAAAATGCTTAATATTTTTTTAATTAAGAAAAAATATCCACGGTTTGATTTTTTATGTTTTAAAATATAAATTTTTATTTATCTCTAAATTTCGAACATTTTACCCTTTAATTAATTATTATAAAGGAATATTTTAAATAATATTAAATAATGATTTAGCTATTTTAAATTAATTAGTGACATTAACCTCAGACCACCGAATACAATATTTGAAAAGGGTAAAAGGGTAAAACATGAAATATCTAGACCCAAAATTTAGAAACCAAAAATGTAATTTTTCGGGTGGGGGACCACAATCACATGCATAGCACAAAACACCAAACATTCCTTGGTTTAAATACATCTTACCAACATATTACTAGAACTTTTGTTTATCTTTTTAACAAATCACATGGAAAGCACACATCACCGACCATTTCGAAAACGTTATACTATTTTATTCCATTTAGTGGTAAAAATGCACGTTTCGGGTCAAGATTTAAAATCTGAATTAGGCACTTAATCGACATTCACTGTGATATAGTCACGTTACTTACTCCTTTATTCTAACCGTAAATACTATTTTCTTTCTTTTAAGACTGAAAGCTATCATAACAACTCAACATAAGTCTTTCCAACATGGTTTTGTCACTACTCACACGCATCCTAGAAAAATTCACTAGAAAACACAAAGCACGTTTAGGTGCACCTTATTGATATAGATAATAAGTTTCACTTTTTAAAGCCGTTCTTAGGTATCTTATCTTCAAGATCACTTCATCCGAATATTGTTTTTAGTTCATTGTATACTACACCTATATCACAAAAATTACTTTTAATCTCCCTTTAAAAAATAAAAAAGTATTAATAAATTTTTTAAAAATTAGAGAAATATTTTAAAAAAAATTAAAAGAAATAATTTTTAAAAAAGTTTTAGGATTCATGCTTTTTAAAATGAGGTGTACTTTTCAAATAATTTTAAAAAAAAGATAATTTATATAATTTAGCGAAATAATTATTGAACTTCACGAGATAACAGACACGTCAGTCTCAATTGTACGAAAAGCCAGTAATCTTCTGCCATGTAACGACTAGTTTACCCGTGATAGCCGGTCCCCTGTCCCCAACGGTCACTTTTTTCGTTTCCGTCGTCTTCTGTAATGTTTTTGTAAACTACTAATAACGTTCAGTTTCTTTCCCTCAAACCTTCCCTTTATATATAAATTTCACCATTCACCGTTCTTCTTCATTCCGATCACATTTTTTTGCTTTAAATTTCCGACCATGGAGAATTTTGCTCTGTTTACTGTTCTGATTTTGTTTTCGGCCTTCACCGCCGTCGTTCTCGCTTACGATTCGACGGCCGCCGCCCCCAAACCCACTAAAACGGCATATTCTCCGTCTCCGGCGCATTCACCGGTGTTTTCGCCGCCGAGTCACTCAGCATCTCCGTTGACTTCTCCGACTTCTTCTCCACCGGCGAAAACTCCGGCTATTTCTCCGTCCTTGGTGACCCCACCGCCGGTATCTCCCCCGAAGACTCCGGCTGCTGCGCCTGTTTCTTCGCCGGCGGCTAGTCCGGTAGTGAGTGGAGTTTCTCCGGTTTTATCTCCGCCATCTCCTCTGCCTTCAGATGCTTCTCCGGTGACTGCACCGGTCGGAGCTCCAGTGGAACCAGAAATCCCTGCAAACCCAATCACTGGAGGGACTCCTGTGGAGACCCCGTCGATATTTCCGTCGAGCAGCAGCCCGCCAATGTCGACACCGGCAAGCCTAGCACCGGAAACGGCAGAGCTGCCTGGAAAGGACGCGTCGACGTCAGGGAAGTACAGAATCGGGGCGGAGGTTATTTTGAGTGGGCTGTCTATATGGGCCGTTTGGGCCTTTTGAAATTAGGCCCAATTACCGAATTTGTGTGTGAGAGCTGTTTTTGAACAATTATTTGAGTTTATTGTATTATTTTTGACAGAATGTATGTGGGGTTCTTATTTTTATTCAGATTAGTATATGAATATATTTTATTTTTGGAAATTAAAAAAAGCAAAAAAAGTTTTATTAATATCAATTTTTTTAAAAAGTCGTTATAATTAATACTTTATTAAAAAAAATACCAACATCCTTATTATTAAAAAAAGTTAAAATAAATTATTACCGTCAATATATGAAAAAAATCGTCTATCTCTAATCCACATATATTGTACCAAACATGTTTTATCTATTTGGAATTATTTTTTAAAATTTAAAGATAATTAAATTTTTAAAATTTTAATAAAAGTTTAAAATATTATTTAAATTTGTAAAAATTTAAAATCATTTTTGTTTCAAAATTAATTGTAAAAGTGTTTTTTTAAGATTTTTTTTAATTTATTTATTAATTTAGCATAAAAATAAAACGAATGAAAGGGAGTATTAGTGGCTCCCCCTTGGAGTTGGATGGGCGGCGAGGCGAAAACTAGAAGGTTGTTGCTGCTACTGTAATGAGGTGAGGGGAGAAATGCTTGAAGTTCTTCTGTGAATTCGATTACTGTTCTTGGTTGCTACTGTTTGCCTCTGTTTCATTACAGATGTAGAATTTGTGCTTCATTTTGTGTTTTTTTCAAGAGAGGGATTGAAGTTAGGTTAGAGTGTTCTTTACTTAATTCAAAGTTCTTTTCAAACTTTTATAGGTTTTAGGTTTGATAAAATCCAGATTCTCTCTTACTTTTTCTATGATTCGCTTCATAATTCAACTAGGTTTGGGTTAGAATGAGCAATAAGTTTGAAGGTTTTATGATCCCATTGAAGCCGACAACATGATGATCAGCTGTATAAGTAATTTTTAGTTATTCTCTCAATTTATTCAATGTTCATAAGATGTCTTATTATCGATGGTGTTTTATTAGTCCAGTAATTGGCCTTGGCCTTTGGAGATTTGATAGAGGAAATAAGCATTGGCCTTGGCCCTTGTGGAGATGCTTGGTAATTTTATTGATATCTGAACTACAACTTAGGAGGTTTTGTTGGAGGACTTATGGACGAACCTTTTACTGATATTCTGCATATCCTTCTTATGATGATGATGATGGAAGATGGAGATTTCTTAGGATGGATAAGTTTCTGTGAGATCCCACGTCGGTTCCACTAGTAGACGCGTTTTAAAATCCTTGAGGGGAAGTCCGAAAGGGATAACTCAAAGAAAACAATATCTACTAGCGGTGGGCTTGAGACTATTACAAATGGTATAGAGCCAGACACCGTGCGGTGTGCTAGCGAGGATATGATAACGTGGGATTACTACTTTCAATAATCCTCAACGGAAGGCAGGGCCAGAAATGGTTATGATTCTGTTACTTCGATGGGACACGTTCTGTCGTTGGGCTGTTTCAAATTCCATAATATTCTGTGTTTGAAGTTCATGCCAGCATATATCTTGTCTGTGTACAGTCCTTTTGAACTTATATATTTGTTTCTCTTGGATGTTCATCTGTTTGAAGTTGCTTAGGAATGATGGACGCTGAAACACCGACATATCCTGTTTCTACAGCCACAGGGATTGCACAAACTGGTTGCTGTCTCTTCTGATCATCATCAAAGTTGGATTAGATGTTCTTTTTTCTCTTTTCCTACTTAGATTTTGGAAGCTTCACTACAGAACTTTGTTCAATTGATTGGGAGGAACACGAACGAACGGTTTGACAAGGTAAAATGCTGTTTTTCTTGCATACCGGATTTGGGAGAGCTAGTTTTTGATGAATTTGGTTGCAGGCTGGATTCTAGCATATTCATGCCAATTGTTGTCACCCATTAGCTTAAAAGCTGTTAAATCGTTCACATTTTTCGGAATGATCGACAAATTTTGATTAGAGAACTAGGATTTCACCTCTTAAGGACAATGAGCATTAAGAGTGTTCATATGACTCGATAATCTGACCAAGTTGGACATCTCAATGTTTTATGAGATCCCACGTTAGTTAGAGAGGGGAACGAATCATTCTTTATAATTCTTTATAAAAAAGTGAGCTTTGCCCCTTTAGCTAGCGGTGGGCTTGGGGTTGTTACATATGGTATTAGAGCTAGACATCGGGCGATATGCCAACGAGGACCCTGGCTCCCAAGGGAGTAGATTGTGAGGTCTCATATCAGTTGGAGAAGGAACGAAACATTGTTTATAAGGGTGTGGAAATCTCTCCCCATATACGAGTTTTAAAATCGTGAGGGGCCAACGATGATATGTAACGGGCCAAAGCAGATAGACAATATTTACTAGTGGTTTGGCTTGGGCTGTTACACGTTTTTTCTTTGTTTGGGTTGGGTTGAATTTTTGCAATACTCACAATTTTATTCGACTTGTAGATTGATATTTTATTTGGTCGGGTCCTGAAAATAGGGTTACAACCCGTTTCGGTTCAACCCAATTTGTGTACTCAGCTCAAAAATATTAAATATTAAAAAAAAAATTGTATCTTATAAGACAATAGGGAGTAAAAAGGATAATTTTACTAAAATGAGTTTATTTTGACTGATAATTTAAAGAGATATTTATTTGTGTTTGAAGAAATGAAATGGTATAAAAACGATGATGGGGGAGCCTCCAAAATCCACACGAGTCAATTCCGTTTAGCTCTCATCCATGGCGACGCTTATCTTAAATCTCTCCCCCAAAACCCTCCGTTCTTCCTTCTTCCCCTCGCCATTTCCCTCTCTCTCAAACCCTAGAACTACGGCAACAACAACCCTCACTAACCAAATCAATTTCACCACTCTACGACGACGGCGACGACGACGCATCCTCACCGTCCGATCCTCCGGCGACCGCGACAACAACACCGCCGACGGCCCCGACCGCCTCATCTCCGCCATCTGCTACTTCTACCCGTTCTTCGACGGCGTCCAGTACGGCAAGTACGTTATCACTCAGTACGCTCCCTTTCAGGTTCTGATTCAGCCTTTGGTTCCCGCGATTCGAGTTTTCAAGAGCTTTCCATTCAACGGATTTCTGGTGTTTTTGACTCTATACTTCGTCGTGGTTAGAAACCCTAATTTCAGTCGATATGTTAGGTTCAATATTATGCAAGCCATTGTTCTTGATGTGCTTTTGATTTTCCCCGATCTTCTGGAGAGGAGCTTCAATCCGAGAGGGGGATTGGGGTTGGATTTGGTGATGAGCTTGGATAGCACTGTGTTTCTGTTTCTTTTGATTTGTTTGATTTATGGCTCATCTTCTTGCTTGTTGGGGCAGGTCCCTAGATTGCCCATTGTTGCTGATGCTGCTGATAGGCAAGTTATGTGAATTCTTCTGAATTATCATTATCATTATTATTATTATTATTATTATTATATTAAGCTTCATTCCTTTGGGATTATTTGTAGTTTAGATTACTGTTTCAATATCTGAACACACCCTGATGAGGATGAAATGATTCAAGAAGAACAAGTTAGAAATGATATTCAGTGATTCTGGTTTTCTTCCTGCTCCTGAAAATGCTATGTTTTTTCCTTTGGGACTTTCCCTCAAGGCTTTAAAATGAAGTAAGGCTTCTCCTCAAAGCTTTAGAACTCGTTTGGTAGGAAACGGGCTTCGCCTCAAGGCTTTAAAACGTGTTTGGTAGGGAAAGGTTTCCACACCCTTACAAAGGAGTTTCGTTCTTCTCCCCAACCGATGTGGGATATCACAATCCACCCCCTTCAGAGCCCAGCGTCCTTGCTGGCACTCGTTCCTTTCTCCCATCTGTGTGGGATCCCACCAAATCCACCCCCTTTGAGGCACAACGTCCTTACTGGCACACCGTCTCGTGTCTATCCCCTTCGGAGAACAGCCTCCTTGCTAGCACATCTCCCAGTGTTTGGCTCTGACACCATTTGTAACGGTTCAGGCCCACTGTTAGCAGACATTGTCTTTTTTGGGTTCTCCCTCAAGGCTTTAAAATGCGTATGCTAGAAAAAGGTTTCACACCCTTATAAAAGATGTTTCATTCTCCTTCTCAATTGATCGATCTTAAGTCTAAGGGTTGAGACAAGGATTCCTATTGATTGGGTTGGGGATCAAAACAGCTCGAATAAAGTTCACAATCCAATTGGATTGATAGAGTTTTTTTTTTTTTTTTTTTTTTTTTTTTTTTTTTTTTTTTTTTTTTTTTTTTTTTTTTTTTTTTTTTTTTTAATTATTTATAAAAATTCTACTTATCCATTTGAGGTGGAGAAAGAAGGGTTGGTTTATGATTTGGAGAGGAATGAATGGGAGGGGATGGTTGGAGGGTGGAGAGGGCCGATGGTGGCCATGGATGCGGAAGAGATATATGTGTTGGATGAAAGTCCCACGTCGACTAATTTAGGGAATGATCATGAGTTTATAATTAAGGAATACTATGTCCGATGGTATGAGTTCTTTTGGAGAAGCCCAAGGCAAAGCCATGAGTGTTGATGTTCAAAGTGGAAAATATTATACCATTGTGGTAGATCCATATTCATCTAACAGTATGTGGTTGATGAAGTCAGTCGATGTTCGAGAAGGGTATAAACTGGAAGAAGGGAATAAGTCGGTTGATGTTCGAGAAGGATATAAGTCGGTCAATCTTCTCATAGTTTATTATTAATTTTTTAATTAATTGAGTTGTTGAATTCTTCTTTCAATTATTTATAAGAATTCTACTTATTCACGTTATGTTAAGAACTAAAATATCATAAAGTTTAAATATTAGATACTTACAAGACAATGCATCACTAATATCCTATCACAAATATGAAATATTATTAATCTTTTTAAAAGTAGAGCAATGTTAGATTAGAGTGTAACTCTATTTTCGATCGGAGCTGACTAAAAATATGTCAAATCAACAAATTAAATCAAATTTTCTTTTCCAAAAATTTATCTTACTCAAACTTAAAAAACAAAATTCAACCCAACTTAATTTTTATAATTTGGGTCGGATAATCCGTACAAAAAGACAGTTAAGTCGGATAATCTGTACAAAAAGACCCATACTAAATAAAGCGGTAAAATCACATTGGTTAATTATTATTATTATTTTGTTTTCAAAGATTAGGTTTGTTTTCTTGTAATTTCTTAATCTTAATTTTTTTTTTTTTTAGATAACCATTATTTGTAAGAATAAAAACAAGTTTTAAAATTTTATTTTCTTTAATTTTTCTTTGATTTAAAAACACTTTAAAACAACTATGGTTGAAGTAATTTTTATTTCACCTCCTCCTATGGTGGTAAATATAAAAGAATAATATTTATATAATATTTATGTCATAAAGTTAAATTGTAGCCAACTTTATAATAATCATAATTTTATGAAATTAAAATGAACTAATATTTTTAAAACATAAATAAAATGAATCACATTTAATGTACTTATATGTGTTCATTTCTTAAATTGGCTAGGCTTTAAAAATTAAATCCAAAACATAATATAAAATAATGATGTTTTGAATTTAAATAATTCTATAATTAAATAAAAAGTATTATTATTAAAGCAAATACAAATATTTAAAATATATATATCATTATTATATTATTTTCTGAGGTTGAAAATTTAAATCTCATCAAAAGGCCACGTGGCATAGTTTGGGCTTAATTTAAGTTATGTCGGCCCAATGAATTGGGCCACATTTGATTCGCTCAAGCCCACGAGTATAATATATATTATATTTCAAAAATGAATTATTATTATTATTAATTATATTCTATGTATCAATGGACTTTTTAAGTATATTTAAGTTTTAAAATGATATTTTAACACACTTAAAAAAAAAAAAACGACGATTTTATCATAAATTTACATATTCTCATCATGCAAATGGGTCACGTTCACTTCTTACTTCTTATATTTATTCATTAGCCTTGATTTCAAATTGCTATTCTACTTCAAACTCATATCAAAGCTGATTACCGTTTCCGGAGCTCGTCCCGCCACTCCTACCTCCACCATAGTATCCGCCCATTGCATCGAACATCCCTGTCGAGGTGTGCCCTAGCGGAAACGCTTGCCCGTACGGTGGCATCATCCCCACTTGTGGCACATAATCCACATTGCGCCTCAAGATCGGCTCAGTACGAACTCGATCACTCTCCGACTCACGGTATCGGTTGAGGAACATAGTTAGTGGCTCGATGTAGTCATCAAAGCCAAGCTTCCCCATAGCCCAAAGGACATCCTCTGCTGTCACTGTCTTGCGTTGTTCCCGTTGGCATCGCTCGTTAGCCTCTCCAGTGATGAAGCTGATGTACTCCGATACACATTCTTGGATGGTCTCCTTGGCATCGTCGGATATCTTTGCATGAGAGGGTAAGATTCGTCGCATGATGCGTATCACATTAGCAATCGGCATGTATTGGTCTTGCTCTCGCACCATGCATTGTTGGCTCTGCTCATTGTTGGCACCAGTGACCGGCACATGGCAGGTAGCAGGAGAGTTGCCGGTGGCCGTTGCACCGCTTGAGAGGTGGTGGTTCAACCCTAAAACCAAATGGTTAAACTTTTTAACAGTCACAAACAAATATAATTAAAAATAATTTTTTTTCAAAACAGGACTAAAATTAAAATTTAAAAAACCAAAAAATTAAGCCCTTAAATAAATACATAAATGATAGTTAAATTTTTTTTAATAATATCGGTTAGTTTTAGAGGAAAATAATTTATTTTATTAAATTTAAAATAGTGTTTAAAAATAAATCTTTTACAAAAATTCATTAATACGCTATCTTTTTTACCATAAGAGTATTTTTTTTTTAATTTTAAAAAAAAATTTAAATATGTTTTTTTAAAATTAAAAAATGTAAGGAAATTGATAAAAAAAATTAAAATGGGAGGATGATTGTATTTTAAATTATTTTTTAATTTAAAAGGTATTTAAAATTTTTTAAGAATAACACTAAAATTTTGGAAAGTTTAAAAATATTTTTAAAAATGGAAGTAAAAACTATTTTTATTAATTTTGTTAATAAATAAAGAAAAATAATTAGGAGAACAGAAAAACAGCCAGCGAATAGAAAGGGTGGCCAGTTGGTAGGCGGTAAGATAACGGCGACAGAGTTAGTCACGCGCGCACGCGTCGCATAAGGCGAGTGAGGAAAGGCAAGAGATACAGGTAGTTAGTTCAGTTCTGGAAAATGAAAAGGGCTGAAAATAAACACTTTTTAATCTCCTTACGAATTAGCCACGTCATCAACTGCCAACTCACTCATCTGATTAAATAAAAAAATTAAAAGATTTAAAACGAAAAAAAAAACCCTCCCTCTTCCCGTATATTTTAATTTAATAAATTTATAAAATGCATTAAATTAAAAAAAATCAAGTCTTCTAAGTTAGACTGTGACAGTCTCATCTAATAATTTTTCCAGTCTCTCTCATTCTCTTCTCTCTCTAAAATTAAAAAAAAAAAACCTTGAATCTAAAACTATGGGTATGACTCCTTCTCTCTCTCTATTCTAAAGACTTCACCTTTTTACATATACATGCAAACATACACCTCTAAACACACTCAAAAATAAATTAAAAAAAAAAAACCTTGAATCTAAAACTATGGGTATGACTCCTTCTCTCTCTCTATTCTAAAGACTTCACCTTTTTACATATACATGCAAACATACACCTCTAAACACACTCAAAAATAAATTAAAAAAAAAAAACCTTGAATCTAAAACTATGGGTATGACTCCTTCTCTCTCTCTATTCTAAAGACTTCACCTTTTTACATATACATGCAAACATACACCTCTAAACACACTCAAAAATAAATTAAAAAAAAAAAACCTTGAATCTAAAACTATGGGTATGACTCCTTCTCTCTCTCTATTCTAAAGACTTCACCTTTTTACATATACATGCAAACATACACCTCTAAACACACTCAAAAATAAATTAAAAAAAAAAAAAAAAAAACTCTTTCCACCGCTAGTAGATGTTGTTTTCTTTAGGTTTTTTCTTTCAGATCTTTCCTTCAAGGGTTTTAAAACACGTCGACACCCTTATAAAAAATGCATTGTCCTCTCTCCAACTGAGATAGGATTTTAGCATTTTAGTACAAGCATGCAACAAAATGGCATGCAAGAACAAGATAGGAAGAAAAAGAAGAGGAGGGGCAAAAGGGGGGATAGAGAGTTGAAAATACCAGAGGTTGGCTTAGAGTGTTGCCTTCTGTAGCTATGGAACCCATCTCCACCGCCGCCGCCTCCTCCTCCTGCGGCGGCGGCTGAACTTCCTCCACATTCCATAATTGCCCTTCTAGTTTCTCTCTCTAGAAGTGAGAAGGATAGCAGAGGGTGAATGAAAGAAGTGTCTTTGATGGGAAGCATGCAGCGGAGAGATTTATACAGAAAACAGAGGTCCCATTTGCCTTGTATTCCTTTTTAGCCGGTTGCATTCCGGTGTCCGGTCAAATCCCTCTCTCTCTTTCTCACATTGGTAATCACGACCGCCAATTCAATTGCCCTCTCTCTCTCTTTCTTCTAATTTTATATTATTTTTTTATATTTATTATAATAAATTATTATTATTTCTTTTTCCTTTTACTTTACATGCACAATGGAGCCTCCATTTCCTTCCAACCAATCATATTTTTTCCTTTTTTTTTTTTTTATCATTTTTTATTAGAAACAAAATTAAGAAAAACTTGTAATATATACGTTAATTGAGAATAAAAAAAGGGATGAATGTGTGAAATATTTTGAAAATTCTCTCTTTTTCTTGAGATTTCATAAATAGAAAGAGAGTGAAGAATTTATTAACTAAGATTTGATGCACTTTATAACACATAATTATGGTATTGGCCAACCTCCCAAATTTAGCTTCTTTTTTATTTATCATTTATTATTATTTTTTTAATTTTATGTTAATGAAATTACAATGAAATATATGATTTTCAAATATAAAGAAATGGTTTAGGGTTTATAATTATAATTCGAAAAGTTGTTTTCAAATATAATTATGAATTTCATTGCCAATAATTATTTTTAAAGGTATTTATAATAATAATAATAAGAATAATAGTGGTATTATCTATATATATATATAAATTTCAAACCATGATATAAAATAATATAATTGAATTTTAAAATCGGTCTAATATTAATTCATTTATTAAACATAAAATTTTAATTTTAATTAATCAAATAACGGGTCAAAGTTAGTTATATTTCTACCTTGAAAATAGGGCTAAAATTAAAGGCAATTAAAGGCTTATTAAAATTTGTATGGTCCGTTCATAAATGTTTTCATAGTTCAACTAATGTAAGCATGTATTGATCAAAAAGTCTATCATTTGAATACCCGTTTTTAACTTATGGCCCCGATTTAAAGTATGATTGTTCTTAAAACATTCAGAAAGTTACTTCAAACATCGTGAAAATTTAAAAACTAATATGAAGTAGACCCGAGTACGCACCAGAGCAATTGACAGACACTCCAAGACCCACCAACGCTCATAAAAATCCAGGTCGATTGATCCTCTATTCATCTGACCGAACATAAAGCATCATCAAGGATTCAAGTACAAATGTTGCCCTCTTATATACTCGATAACTTCATCAGGAGTAAGATATTTGATTGACAGTCCTTTTGAAATGCAATCCCTATAAATGGATAGATATGATTATGCGAACTAATACCGAAAAAGATTGATTTAACGTTTCCAACTTTACCCTTCGTCTGTAAGCTTACCTTAATCTGGTGGAGCTTATTATGTTGGGTATAATTTGATCTACAATTTTGATATTGCTCTGTAGAAAAGGATTTTTTTCAATATTAGAACTTGCAAAAGAACTCACAAAAAGAGTCATGTTGTCTTGTGACAGCATTGCATTGCATTGCTTACCCTGTTCTCGTACAGAATTTCATTATCCGATATGATTTTCTCGATATCTTGTTCTTCTCGACTAACGCAAATGAGACCGTAATCTCGGCATATGGTTTTAACCTATGAAGGGACATGAAAAGCAGTGTCACAAGCTTGAATCTAACTAGAGTGATTGCCATAGGTACATGAATTATGAATAATATGCATACTTGATCAGGTATCCAAACTCCAGGTGTTGCAAAAGATTCAATCAAATCAGAACCACAAGCAAGCATCACCTTCAGGGATTCTTACAAAATCAGAGAAACACGATCATTATTCTAGTAACCTTTTGAAACATCTAATGCAATTATACTCGGGGTAGGTTCGATATGTAGAATGCATTCTTTCAACGTTTCCAGATAAGTGGAGGTAGGAGATCAAATCTTTGATGAAACCTTTAAACCAACCGGAATTAACCAGTAGTGTCATCGTCCCAAGAGAAACCATACCTTTGGGAAACAATCCAATGGCACACAGTGAAGTCTTGATTCGAGACAGAACAGTTAATGTGCGTTGGTAGCTATTTTGACTGGCCTAAATCAGAAGTCAAATTCCAACCTATCCGACATAAGAACAATGAAGTAATCGAGTGATGGCACACCAAGAGGGAAAAGAAGAGAAATACCTCCCATGGATCGACCATGATGTATTCTGAACTTCGGCATGCTAGTTCGCAGAGCTTTATTCGATGTTCCGAAGAAATGAGGCCCTAAATAATTATCAGAAGCTCTGCTCTGTTAGGCCATGCAACAAAACATAAGAAATAGCCAGTATGAGCCAATTATCATATATAACTATCACTTCATATGTGATCAAAACCACTCAGCCATCTAAAACTTTTGCAAGTTCCAGAGATTAAAGGAAGTTCATATTTCTAAAGGAGTGGATTTCTTTCAGGCCTCTCTAACATCCTTTTCTACCTTCTATCTCATTCCAAGATGGATAAAAAAGATGAACGTATTTTACATGAAGCACACTAATGAAAAACACGTGGAGCACGTTTTTGCGCAGGCATGCACCTCAAAGGGTGCTTGATTATGAAGCAAAGTGCCCCAAAGGGCATACTTTCTTAGAACACTATGACCAAAAAAACAAATTGGATATACTGTTTTTTGTTTTTCATTTATTGGAAGTTTCTTTGTCTAGAGTGGTGTTCGAGATTTTGTTTGAAGTACATGTCAGATAACGTTAGGAGCCTCTTGTATGATATTTTCATCGAAAAGAAACCGAAGGAAATAGTGATTAATAAAAGAAAGCATAAACTACAAACATTTCCAAACTTACTCCCTTTGTTTATTTATGCCAATCAATTAACTCCTTTCTAATCTCAATTGATATTGAGCGTAGGTTCATTCCTTATCCCTCATTCTTGTAATTGCATCATGAATTTTATGTATCATTTTAGCTACAGAAGGTTTGAAAATGTCAATAAAGTTGCATACCTTACCTTTTTCTTGTATGCATCGTTAACTGGAGACATATAGCCTCCAATAACACAAAGGCCCTCTGATTCCAGTGCATCCTTCGCCATTTCTATGCACAAAATGAAAATCTAAGTTTGAACAAATATGAACTTCAAATGTCATATTGTTATGTCTATCATAAAATTCACTGTTTCATTGAGATATTTCTGATACTCCAGCAATGAAATTCATTGACCTTTTCCAAATTCTCAAGCAACTATATGAAGGAAATTATTAGCAACTCACCAAACATGCGTAAATGCATATAAGTGGGAGGATTGAAGCTTCCAGTAGCTACAAGAACCGCGAGCGTTTTAGGCCTAGATTTAAGACAGAATGTTTGAGTTAAAACAGCAAATTCACCTACAAATGAAGAAACTGTAATGAAGAACTAACTTGATCGAGGAGCCAGAGGAGGAGCCATGGCCAACCAATTCCAACGCTAACTTATCAACCGGCAAAGGGATCTCCACGGAACTTATTATGTCTGATCTTTGATCATGTGAAGAGATATTTTCCGCCATTGGAATTTCTTAAGATGAAGCTAAAGACAATGAGAAGATAGAATCGTGGGGGAGTTAACACAAGAACTGAATTTATAGCCAATTTCCTCAGCAACTCACTCTATTAGGTCAATTACCTCAGCAACCCACTCGATTTGGGGCTCCAACAATTAATAACCGAAAATAATTTTCAAATCACAAGAACAATAGCGAACAACAATCAATGACAGTAACAAGAAATCCATAAAAAAAAAAAAACAACAATCGGTGACTGTAACGTCAATAAACTCAGTTCAAACCAGCCAACAATTTCCATCACAAGAACATAAAATTCAATTGAATATAACATTTTAAAGCGCGTCGTAAGTGAGATTACCTGATATAACAGAAACAAAACCCAGAAGTTGCTTTGGATCTTTGCTATTGTTCCAGATGCTTGATTTAGCAAATAAATCAGATGATCAGTTCTTCCAGAGAAATTTCAGATAGGGATCACGGCGACTGTGGCGGAAGGACGATAACGTCAGTTCACCGGCGGTGACTGAACGAAGGCCGGCGACAAACGCTGCTCAAGGAACGCAGAGAACAATCGATGCTGTAGTTGCTGGACTAAATTGGATAAACCTAAAAACCAAGGTCATTTTGGTGGCATAACCTAATCCAATATTATTATTAAATTATTTAAATTTAAAATATAATATCATTTATATGTACAAAATAAATTACTAATCTCTACACGAGCATTCGGGACCTTTACACCATGTCCCGTTGGTGACAAGAATTAATTCAATTAGATTGTGTCGTGTCGTGTCGTGTCGTGTGTATTTGATGACATATAATAGTCTTTTCAAAGGACGACCATTTCTATTGTACATCTGGGCTCTCGACCACTCACTCATCCGACCTCTTACGAATTCAACACATCATCCTTCATTTTAGAGAGGAGAAGATTCAAAGGTCGATCTAAACCTCTAGACGCCATCTAAATCGATCCATAAGTTAGATGTTGATCTAAGACCTACAAACGGGAGGTTGACCCAAGTTGATCAACCAGTGATAAAAAAACAATAAGTCATAAGACCAATCCAAGACAATCAACATGTCAAAGTTCGATCTAAGCCCATCATTAAGTCAAAGGTTGATTGATATGAACTACGACTAAGGAATTTTCATATCTCAAGGTCTAATTATAAGGACGAGAGCTAAAAAGCTACAACAAACCTTGTATACTTATTCAAGTTATGGTGAGCTCATCAAAGAAAATTCTAGAAGACGTTGGAGACATCTCTTATATGTTGGGCAACAAATTATATTAAATGTATTTTAAGTTTCATTTAATAGACCAAACTAAATTTACTTTACGGAACTAGTCCAAAGTCATATCCCCCTACCCAAGGTTATATATGCTAAGCCGTTGTTATCTCTCTCTTGCTTGCTTATATAACGTCTCTTTCAAAAATCTCTCTTTCTAAAATCTCTCTCTACCCTCGTTTTCCAAAACCTTCTTTTAAAACCGAGGCTAGAGGCTCGATCATACGTCGCTTGGCCGTAGGCGACGCAAGTACAAATTGGCTCAGCTCACTTGTCGTTGGAAAGTGAGTGCCGCACAATCGCTAGTCCGCTGCCTTTAAGAATACTAATAAACACCTTCCATTTACACTATTTAATTATAATTTAAATATTTATTTGTCATATTTAAGTTAGTTTTTAATGGAAGAGGTAAGGTTATAACCCAAAGTTACCTATGGTAGAGTTAACGAGTCCTTTTAATATAGAGGTTATGAGTATTTCTCATTTATTTTTTTTAGTTTTATTGATGTTGAGGATTATTGGGAATGAGTCCTACCTTGGTTAATTTAGTGAAAACTCATGGGTTCAAATACTATCTCCATTGGTATGAGGCATTTTGAGGAAGCTCAAAGCGAAGCCATGAGACTTTATGCTCAAAGTGGACAATATCATATCATTGTGGAGAGTCGTAATTCCTTAACATGGTATCATAGCCATGCCATAAAATCTTCAAATGTCGAACAAATGGTGTATTTTGTCGGAGGGGAGGATTGTTGGGAGTGAGTGATCATGGGCCCTAAACTTAACCATATCGAACAAAGAATTGTGGGCCTAAGAGGGGAATACTATCTTCATTGGTATGAGACTTTTTGGGGTTATTGAAGTGGTATTAATTTTTATTTAATTTCATTTAAACTCAGCTTAAAATTAGATATATCAGATTTTTCATATGCAAAAATGAATGGAAATTATTATAAAAAAAAATGCATATAATTATATATAAAAGAAATAGTTGGATTCAGTGAAGGAAATAAAGGCATTGGAAAGTGGGGAAAAGGGCGGTGGGTCATATTCCATCAATTTTTTGCTTCAGAACGGTTATAAAATCGTAAAACTGGGATTTTGCATTTTGGTCCCTGGGGTTATATAATTGTAAAACTGGGATTTTGCATTCTGGTCCCTGGTGGTCACATGGGGATGAATTTTATAAAAACTCCCCATTCTTTTAGTATCCTTTTTACACCTAAATTTCTCTGTTATTCCCTTTTTGCCCTCACACAAATTTATATTTGCAAACCCCTTTAATAAGTCCAATTACGTCCGTTCATTCACTTTCGTTCATCGTGCTCGAAAATGAAGGAGCAAGAAAGACCTAACTATGTGATCCCTTATTCTATAACGGTACACAATCATACGACATGCTCAAAATGTAATAATACTTGATCATATCTCTATCGAATTCTTCTTCCCCGCTCCTGCTGTACTTTTTTTTTCATTATATTCTTAATCTCGTTCTTTCCCTTTCGTCCCAGATTCATTTTGATTTCTTCATCAAAATTACGAATCCGACGCTACAAACTTGAAAAAGAATTTTTTTTTTTTTGGGCGATTTTTCTAATTTTTTAATTTAATTAATCCAAGTGAAAATACTAAAATACCCTGGCTACATTTTTCTGATTTTCTTTTCATTTTATTTCTTCTTAATTTTTAATATATTCGGTCGAATCAGAATATCTTTTACTGACAAAAAGGCAATTTAAAAACTAAAAACATTATCGTGTCACTACTTTGACGTAAACGTCGTCGTTTTCCTTACTCATTTATCATTACCGTTGGGATACTCTGTTTGTTTCCATTATTTTCAAACCCCATACCCCACACTGACCCATTTCTTACCGTTTAAACTCCATTTTCTTTGACTCAAGAACATCGACCATCATCATCAATCCAATCCTCTCAGTTCTTGAATACCCATCTCCAGATCCTTAACTCAGCCATTCTCCGCCCCAATGACCCCAAGAAATCTCCTCGCCGTCGCCCTTTTCCTCCTCCTCTTCACTCCGCCAAGAACACAGAGTATCGGCTTCGATTTCAATTCTTTCAACATCAGAAACCTCACTCTCCTCGGCGATTCCCACTTCCGCGACGGCGTTATCGGCCTCACCAAAGAGCTCGGAGTCCCTTCCTCCAGCGCCGGCGCTGTAATTTACAATCAACCCATCGGATTATACGACGCCGATACCAACATTACTGCCTCTTTCTCCACAAGATTCTCTTTCTCCATTACTAATACTAACCCCACTTTCTCCGGCGACGGTCTTTCCTTTTTCCTCTCCCCTGATAATCGGACCCTCGGTAGTCCCGGTGGGTATTTAGGCCTCGTCAATTCCTCCCGTTTGGTTAACAAGTTTGTCGCGGTTGAATTCGACACTCGGCTTGATTCTGTCTTCAATGATCCTAATGATCACCATGTTGGCTTCGACATTGAAAGCTTGGTTTCAATCAAGACGGCCGATCCTGCTTCTCAAGAGCTCAATCTCAAGAGTGGGGAGTCCATTACGGCTTGGATTGAGTACAAGAATGAGGAGTGTAGGTTGAGGCTTTTCTTGAGTAATTCTAGTTTGAAGCCTTCTGAGGCGCTTCTCGACGTTAGTGTCGATCTTTCGAGCTATCTTAAGGAGGTTATGTATGTCGGGTTTTCGGGTTCGACTGAAGGGAGTACTGATCTTTATTTGATTGAGAGTTGGAGCTTTCATACTTCTGGGTTTGTTCCTGCTCGACGTCGATTTAAGCCTCATAATGTTTCTGATAGCTCTGTGATTGATTCTCCTAATATTTCTATATCTGATTCTGGAAATGGTCATCACAGTCGGCTCGGGCTGGGTCTCGGGATCGCCGGACCGGCCTTCTTTTGTGCCGTGATTGCTGTGTTTGGTTTCTTTTCACTTAGGAAATGGAGGAAGATTAGGACTCAAAAGAGCTTCAAGGCAGAGCTTTTGACAGGTCCTAGGGAGTTTTGTTACAGAGAACTAAAGAGAGCCACAAAAGGATTTCACTCCAGTAGGATCATTGGCAATGGGGCTTTTGGGACTGTCTATAAGGCTTTTTGCACCTCATCAGGAGGCATTTCGGCTGTTAAAAGATCGAAGCATTCCCACGAAGGAAAGACCGAGTTTCTGGCCGAGTTGACAATCATAGCTCGGTTGAGGCACAAAAATTTAGTTCAGCTCCAAGGTTGGTGCGTCGAGAAAGGTGAACTGCTTCTCGTTTACGACTTTATGCTGAATGGGAGCCTTGATAAGCTGCTCTACCAGGAATCTGTAGAAGCTAGCTTGTTAAACTGGTCTCACAGATACAACATTGCTGTTGGATTAGCCTCTGTGCTGACATATCTACATCAGGAATGTGAGCAGCAGGTGATTCATAGAGATATAAAGACTGGTAATGTACTGCTGGATGCGAACTTCAATGCCAGACTGGGCGATTTTGGATTGGCAAAGCTCATGGATCACGACAAGAGCCCGGTTTCAACTCTAACTGCAGGAACAATGGGATACCTCGCACCTGAGTATCTACAATACGGGAAAGCAACTGAGAAAACCGATGTCTTCAGCTACGGTGTGGTTATCCTTGAAGTGGCCTGTGGGAGGAGGCCGATCGAAAGAGAAGCAGGTACTCAAAAGATGGTCAATCTGGTAGATTGGGTTTGGGGATTACATTCTCAGGGAAAGATCATCGAAGCAGCCGATAAAAGGTTGAATGGCGAGTTCAAGGAAGAAGAAATGAGGAAACTGCTACTTGTTGGATTGAGCTGTGCAAACCCGGATAGCTCGGTGAGGCCTTCGATGAGGAAGGTCCTACAGATTCTCAACAATGAGACTGAGCCGGTGTTCGTGCCAAAACTGAAGCCTAGTCTTACCTTTTCTTGTGGCTTTTCACTGACCGTGGATGACATTATAGTAGAGGAAGGAGGAGGAGAGTGGGAATCTGCAAAGGCAACCACTATCCAAATAGACTGAAAGTAACTTCTGTGTTTTTCTTGCACCCTGATTGTTAAGATTCATTCTTTTATAACCATCACACTGGTAAATGCCATCATGTACTTCTCAAGTGTCTAGAAACTGAAGGGGAGTTCAATACAATCTATTTGAACTCTGTCCATGGTTTCAGTTTAAGTACACCCCACATATAAAGAAGCCAATTCTCCACTGCCATAACTTAGGCTTTCATTTCCTTAACTCATAACTGTTGCAGCATTCTCCATAAATATGGAATGAACAATACCAATTTGCAAAAAACAGAAATATATAGTACATTTTCGGTGTTCGGAGTGAGTTTACATCGAAGAAGATCGTAAAATATGGTAGTTAGTGTTTCTAAGATCATTTGCTCCCACTTCCATCCCCTGTACTTCAGTAGTTTCCTTCAACATATCAGCAGTTAAACTGCTGTTGGCAGCTTCATGCATCTGGCCCTTTACTGACTTGAGTTTTATCGACATCGTCTTCTGATTAATCCCAACTGCCTCTGCCTGATCAGCAAACAAGACTTTAAACATGGGAGAGCTGCAAATTTCCTTGTATGCTTCATAGCCTGCAGCGTGAGTACTTTTAGCTCCAAAAAGCTCAGTGAGAGGATGCAAAACTGATATTGGATCATCGTGCCGCTCCAAGTTTTCCTTTAGGTCGAGAAATTCGGAAACCATTTCTGGCTTTGCAAACTGCACAAACACAGCACTTTCATCTATATGGTAGACACTAACGATATTTGCCAGGCCGAACACTTTAGAGATGCACTCTTTGATTTTCCTTGCATTAAGGTTGGCAGGAAATCCCCATATTAGAACAATGTTCTCGAACGATATTTTTACTTGATGCCTTTTAGATCTATTAGACCTCAAAGGCTCGGTCATTCGATTACCGGTGCTCAGATCGATAATATCGCCACTGGCCCAACTCAAATACAGATGGTTTATGTGCTTCTGCAATTTCTCATTGTCAGCCAAATTTTCAGAAGGAAGAACAAAATCAATTCCCATAAGATTGCACGCTTGTGCAAATACACATCCTGTCATAAAAGCATCGTACCCAGCTTCATGCTTATCTCCAGAATTCCAGTTGGAGGAACTGCATAGAGGTTGAAATTAAAACATAGATGCAGTTAGATTTTACTTAATTTTAATCAATTAAGTACCTTCAAATCCTAAGTACTGCCAGGATCAAGAATACAACACTAGTGATCAAAACATCAATGCTAAATCGACACACACGTGCACTTGTATTTATACAAAAATGATGAGAAATTCAACAATTTCACCCATAAGTTTTCTATTGGTAGCACTCGATATAGAAAATTTGGATAACGAATAGAAACTTATATTCAGCATACGATATAGAAAATCCTAGCCGTCCAAATATGCCGAGGAAAACGTACCTTAGATCGTCTACTTGAACCTCCACTTGCACACCAGAGTTGAAGGCAGGATTGCTCTGAGAGCTAAAGGCAATATGCGGGCATAATAAGGCAAATGCAGAGGATAGAGATGTGCTGGACTTCTTCATCCGTTGCTGAAGAATGCCATTTCCGTTTAATAGAATTTTGGTGTCCATGATTAATGGAAAGCGCTTTCCAATAGAAGAGACAAATTCTTCAGCCGTTAAAGGAAGAGAACCTATAAACTTTTTGTGTATGTGGGCAATATCTGGTACAGAAAACAGTTGTGTCAGCTGAAAATAGAATTGTTAACAATTATTGTCTATGAAACTAAGGCTGAATGCCTTACCGAGGAAGCAATTATGACCGATAATCAACTTCTTTTCCGATGAAAGGAGATCGATAACATGACGAAACCCAATTGCTGATTGGATCTTCATTTCAGCTGCTTCCTGCCGATCGCAGTTGACCTCTTGCTGCATTAATATGACAATTCATTATAAGCAATTCGGGGCTGTAACTTTGTAAATGCATTTTTACTTCCATATCTCTCTCCCAAAAGCATGAAGTGATAAGCAAGAATAAGGCCTCATGTACTGTTTTCCATTACTGCTGATCCAATACACAACAACATATAGATTTTCACAACGAATTTCAGAAAGATTACCACTTTCAGCGCTTAGTTTTACGAACTAAAACATCTAATAAGCACAGATTTAAACGTAAATTGAAAAGTTCGAAATAAAAGTAACCAAGTCAAGATATTTGTCTTCATTTCGACTTTTTCAGTTGCTAGTTTGTAGTCAAGGTTTTGTGAGCACAAAAGGAAAGTGTCTAACCATGAGCAGCTCTTTATCGTCCCTAGAATCCACGTACACGACTAATTGTTGTAGATTGGCATTGCCATCATCCACGACAACGAAACAAAGATCTTCAAAATGCTTCTTAATGACCTGCATGTGTTCACCTCCACATGATCAACATTTCAAATGAAATAAGATCATGTTATCCCAAACAAACGACATTGCATGATTAATATTCAGACAGTTAAGTTAACTAACACGCAGCCAAGCATAGACATACTTGATGAGAAAGTAGGCAAATATTGCATCAGAAAATTATTTTATGCCACAGATAGTTTCTTCACAGAACAAACAAAAGAAACAAGAACAAAGCCTCTAGCAACTTCAGAAAATGGCATCTTCTTAGAATAATAAAATCATATTTCCCTGTACTCTAATTCCCATTATGTTTCATGCTCCGTATAAAGCAAGCAAACAAACTTGTGCATTTAAGTTTAAAATTGATGTAAAATATGCAAATGAAAATCTATCTCACCAGCTGAATCAATTTTGTCTGATGAGAGGTGAAATCGCTCAAAGTAAGAGCGGGGCGCATCTTGAAGAAAATGGTTTCAAATTGTCGTTGGTAATCATTTGCGCCTTCCTGGCCTTGACACTCCATGTTTCTTTCAGATAGTAATCTGTCCCGCCATTCATGTAATCTGTTTTTCATTCTTTCCTTGAATAAAACATCAGCAATGCCGATCCTCTTCTGATTCCGAATATTAGTCACATTAGAAGATGCATCTAACGTTTCGTCCCCATGTGCAAAATTCAGGCGTTTGCGTGCCGCATCTTCATGTGCTCTGGACAAATAAGATATTCCTGAGATTAATTACAATTCAAATTCTCAAAATCCGAGAGGACCAAAAGAGTCAATCAATGAAATGACTAAAAGTTTACAATTATGCTTGTCAAATCTGACTGAATAACCGTATAAAATGAATTCGACGCAGTCTCTGTATCCTGAAGATAAATTTTATGTCCATAAATTGAAGGAGAAACATGAAAACAAAACTACCTTCATGTATACAAGCGTTGAAATCAAACTGGTATTTAGCCAAGAATTCGATGGAGGTAGTCTGACAGAGGAACTCGGAAGAAGGGCCATCGACTTGGATTTCATGGCGCGGGAAAACAAAAAAGTTATGCCTGCAACTCAAACAACGAGACAATGTCAAATTCCACAAAAGAAACCATCTCTCCATCACGGTAAGCTGGCTATACTGCCTGGTTCACACGAAATTTCGCAGTAACCAAATGAAATCCAAATCCAACGAAGAAGAAAAGAAATTACGGATGAGCGACGAATGAGTTCTTGGCAGAGTCCCAACGGAACGGGCAGACGCCGAATTGAACAACGGCAAACTTCTCAGCAGAGTCCTTGACCTTGAGGTAGCGAACATCAAAGCGATCAAACTCGAACGATTCGCGCCAAGGCGCGCTAGTGATGCCGGTCATTTCAAGGTCGATGGCAACGAAGTCCGCAGCTCGGACATGGCTCCGAAGTTCCGATAGCACAGCTTCAAAGTTCGACTTGGTCACATTCTTGAGGGGAAAGCTAGAGTTTGAGGCGGTGGCCGGAGCAGTAACAGCGGCGGAGGAGTACGTTGCAGTTCTGATGAAGCAAAGCAGCCGCGTGGGAGCCCAAAGAGGGCGAGACAGATTCATCGCTGAGTCTTACGGGGGATTTCCATCTCAGAGGTTTAAGGGTAAAGAAACGAGGAAATAGGGCCAATGCCGAATTGTCGTTTCAGCCTACAGGCTACAATTGAAAAACGACGTGTCGAACTTTCTCTTTCTTTTTCCCCTGTTTTTGGAGCAAATTTCCATTTTGACCTTTATATCAATTTTTACCCTAAATATTTAATTTTAACAAATTTAACCTTAAATAAATATTTGTAATTTCTACATCCAACACTATTATATTATATATATATATATATATATATATATATTATTATTATTATTATATAGTACGAAATTAGACTCGACTAAATAGGATAAAATGTGACATATGAATTGTGTGAATAATTTACTGTGTATATTAATTATACTTTTCTCTATTACCCTTAAAAACTATGATTAGTGTTGCATTGAAAATATTATCATAATTTCATATAAATAAATTACTTTCAGCATTTTATTACATTATTTAATTTTTAATTTTTGATAATTAACTATTGTAAAATAATTTTTTATTATTTATTATAATTAAATAATTAATATTAATAATTTTGTAAACTAAAATTAAAAACTTTTTTAAGAGGTCTAAAAGATGCTAATAATTATGTTTGGTATTAATAATTATTACAATATTTATTTTGTTATTTTTGATAATTAATTATTGCAAAACAAATTTTTATTATTTATTATAATTAAATAATTAATATTAATAATTTTGTTATCTAAAATTAATTAATTAATTGAGTTTATTCAACCATTCTGGCTCTCGATTTTTGCTATGTTTTTTTTAAAATAATTCAATTATTTATTTATTTATTATTTTTTAATTCGACGGTTACTACATGCATGTCGTGATGGACGTTTCCAACCCAACATATGCAAAAAAAATAATCACAATTCAAAGCCTTAAAAAAAAACATTTCGAACATATCATTAAAATTCACGAAAGCTAATGGACACATAAAACATGCTATTTGAAATTAATGAAAAACAAAATCAAATCACAAACCATATAAACTATTACGTGTGTCTAAGGTAACATAAAACATTATTGAGTGCATAAAGAAGATATCATTCGACCCGTGATCTTTTGTCTTTACTTAAAAAATATTAGAAAAATAATAAACATCTAAAAATACACGGTAAGTGATTCCACTGCAGACTAGCACATGCTTACGCTGCCAATTCTGACATAAGAGAAAGCAACATAAATATATCGTGAGAATATGCATCCGTACAATATATAACTATTGAAGTGTCCCATGACTACATGACGATACGACATGAAGACTTATATTTTAAAATATACATAATAATTCAATTTAATAGCACAAAATTTTAAACAATGAGCACGTAGTATTCATGCATTAAACAATTTATCCAACCAAGCCTTTATGTAACATTCCAACGGTCGGTCCACTAACCTTAATAAGCTTAATTTGACATTTCTCTACTTTCTCGAGTTAAGTCAACTCTAATAAAGTTTGGTTACACAGCCAATAGTCTAACTCGACTTTAACTATTGGTCTTACCCCATTACGACTTCTATCTATAATAATGGGTTGGACAAAAATGATTATTAACCTACTATTTACACATTTTTTTTAAAATTATAATATTTATAATAATAATAATTATTATAATAACTCAGCCATAATTAATATATACTTTTTGGTTTACATATATGCTTACTTAAAAATATAATTTTGCATTTTTTAATAATTCCTTAAAAAAAATATAAAAAATACTATTGCTTTGATATCAACGGTTATTAAAAATATAATAGCATCAATATTTATTTAATTAATTTAACTTCGTAATTATTTTTTAAAATTTATTTATTTTCTAACCATTATTATTTTAATTAAATATTTGATAATAAATAAATAAATATTTTAGTTTTAATAAAAACTTGAATAAATGCGATTAATTGAGTTTAATTTTTCTTTTTGATGCAAAATTATTCTCTACCGCTTACTTGTTTACCCATATATATATATCAACACTAAACTCTATTCGTCTTCTTCTCTATATCACCCTTTCTTCCTTTGATCTCCGTTCTTCTTGATCCTGATCGTACAAGCTTGAAATTCTTCACTTTGCCGGTTCAGATTACGTAAATTTCTTCCTCTCTATTGGAAAATGATTGTTTTTACAATCTGATCATTGCGGAATTAGATTCAAGCTTCTCGTTTTACTCCAGTATTTTATTCTATTCACTTCGATTATCAAGCCTAATTCCATTTCTTGTTGTTCGATCAGTTCTCGGTTACTGGGAAGTGGTCGTCATCTTGAGCGTTTTTCAATTTCTGCAATGCTCTCAGTACCAAGATGAAGATGAAGAGGAGGAGGGCGCTAGAAGTGGTATCCGGCACTATCGTTTCCTTGTGCATATGGCTTTGTTATATACTTTTTATTCTTTTCATGAACACGAAGCTTCTTTCATTATTGTATTTGTTTTAATTGTTTCTTGGTAGATTCTAAATTCTTATTCTGTTTATTGGTTTTATGCTTCTTTAAGTTGGTAAGAGGACTTTTCCATGGTAGGAATGCCAAGAAGAAACGTGATTAGGATTGAGTTTGCTGAGTAGTGTCTTTTTGGTCATTATTATGATCATTTGAATTGCTCTTACCCCACGCGAATTTCTATTTTCTTGATATGTTTTTCAGTTTTTCTTCAGCAGTGTCATAATTTAGGATGGATTAAGGATACGGCATATGCCTCTCATGTAATTGTCTGTGTCACCCTGCTTACGAGTTTACTTTTGGTCATGATTCCTAATGGATATCCCGCTACCTTTATAATGCCTGTATGTATGCGTGCTACTTTAAAGGACTTCTCAAGATCAACACTTAAGGAAAATAAAGGAAAAATATTTACAAAATGATGAAAGAATCATGATGGAGGATTCCATAACATAAGGAAGAAAAAATAACTCTGGTAATAACAGATGTCTTCAATGGTATAAGGATGTCGCATTCAGCTTAATTTTGAATGTCTATCTCATGTTAGTTTTTGTGTTGTCATGCTGAATGTGAGTATATACGGTAACATGATTCTTAATGGATTCATATCTTTTTTTCTTTTCTTTTTTTCTGTTGTTGGTTTTTTCTGAGGCTCAAGAAGAGAAGGGAAAGGAAAAACAAAAAATATATTATGAATGACTATGGTGTTTTGACATGAAACAACTGCTGAAATTTTATGAGCATGTCTATAGGAGATTAGATGGATACTGTCTAAGAACTGTTTGACAATGATTATTGGAGTTATTCGTCTATTGACAATTAATATCTATGCCTTCAAAGTTTCCGAATGAAGTATCGATTGGTCTTGCTTCCCAATCCATATAGTACTGCCATTTTTTTAACAATTGGCTGAACAAATCATGAAATTTCTTGTTAAAAATTTTTAGCATGGGATTTATTGTGAAAATCTATTAATCCAATTCTTATAAGTTTCGTAGTCAGTACTTACCTGGAGAACCCTTTGATTTTTTGTATATTAAAGATTTAGGTGTCTATAGTCTGTTATGGATATAAGCTCATTCTTATTAATGACTTTGTGTGTCAAATTCTTCCAACTGATATGTAACCCTTGGCCCAGAACTGATTTTGTGCTGTTATTAGTTGCTTACTAAGACGAGTTTTAGTTCTTTGGGTGTCTACTATGCATTTAGATTCTAATGTTCGTTTATGTAAAGCTTACTTGTTCTGATTTATTTTGAACATTTTTTTTAATTATATACTGTTTGATTGTTTTTGGATTAATTTTTTGTTTGTTAACTTTGTATAAGAATTGTTACGCACACATTTTCCTTCTTTTAATTTTTTTCTTATTATTTATTTTTTTCTTTGTTAGCCTCCAAAAATTAGATCGTTCATCAATAATGTTACATCCGTTCCGCTTGAGGATATTGAAGAACCTCTGAAGGGTTTCGTTTGGGAATTTGATAAGGTGGCTCTGAAACTGGATCATCATTTTTCTCTATAGTTACCAAACAGAATATTCAGACTTGATTCATTTATTTTTTAACGTGCAGGGAGATTTCCATCATTGGGCTGACCTCTTCAATCATTTTGATTCATTTTTTGAGAAGCACATAAAGTTCAGGAAGGATTTGCAGGTTGAGGATAATTTTTTGGGCTCCGATTCTCCATTTCCAAGAGAAGCTGTTCTTCAGATTCTGCGTGTCATAAGAAAAATTTTAGAGAATTGCACTAATAAACACTTTTATAGCTCTTATGAGGTTTGTTTTTATGTGCAGTAGTATTTTCCCATATTTCACTCTTCCTAGTACATACTGACCATTGATGATAATTGCTTATTATTTTGGATTTACGTTTGTAATTTCATCCTTCAGGCATGGCACGCCATGTTCATCTGTAGTGCAAGTGATAAATACTCCCATTTAGCTTCACCATTGCACTATCATCCACTAGCATTTCACAAATTAATGTTTTTGGTTCATGTATTATTGCAGCAGCATCTATCATGTCTTCTAGCTTCAACTGATGCCGATATAGTTGAGGCCTGCTTGCAGACTTTGGCTGTTTTTTTGAAGAAATCTATTGGGAAGTACACCATTAGGGATGCTTCTTTGAACTCAAAGTTATTTTCTCTTGCACAAGGATGGGGAGGAAAGGAAGAAGGTCTTGGACTGATTGCATGTGCTTTGCAGAATGGTTGCAGCCAGGTTACTCATGAGTTGGGTTGCACACTTCATTTTGAGTTCTATGCGATAAATGAATCTGGAAGTGAAATAGAACAGTTGGCCAAAGGTCTGCAAATCATTCATTTATCTAATGTCAGCTTCTGCCTAGAAACTGATTTAGAACTTCTTAGTAAGTTAATTGCAAGATTCAATGTGCCAACTAGTTTGAGATTTTCTCTTCTGACAAGGATGCGGTTTGCAAGAGCATTTCATTCTCTATCTGCTCGGCAGCAGTATACCTGTATTCGCTTGTATGCTTTCATCGTTCTTGTTCAAGCAAGTGGTGATGCTGATGATCTAGTTACTTTCTTTAATTCTGAGCCCGAGTTTGTAAATGAGTTAGTGGGCTTATTAAACTATGAGGATGAAGTTCCTGTGAAAATACGAATCCTTTGTCTATTATCTTTGGTTGCACTTTGTCAAGACCGGTCACGCCAACCAGCTGTGTTGTCTGCAGTGACTTCTGGTGGGCACCGGGGCATCTTGTCCAGCCTCATGCAGAAAGCTGTTGATTCTGTGATTACTGATACTACAAAGTGTTCAATTCTTTTTGCTGAGGCCTTATTATCAGTCGTAACTGTTTTGGTCTCGTCATCATCAGGTTGCTCAGCCTTGCGTGAAGCTGGCTTTATCCCTACTCTTCTACCTCTCCTTAAAGATACAAATCCACAACATTTGCATTTAGTCAGCACTGCTGTACATATTTTAGAAGTTTTTATGGACTATAGCAATCCAGCTGTTGCATTATTTAGAGACTTGGGTGGATTGGATGATACTATTTCTCGCCTGAAGGTTGAGGTGTCGCATTTTGAGAATGGTTCAAAGCAACAGGGGGATCATCTTGAATATGATCGGAGGAATTGGCAAATTGGCATTGCTGCTTCCTCAGATTTGGATGACTTGCAGCCTTCCTACTCTGAAGCTTTGCTATCATACCGTCGACGATTGCTGATGAAAGCTTTACTGCGTGCTATATCCCTTGGAACTTATGCCCCAGGAAATACTGCCCGCTTTTATGGTTCTGAAGAGAACTTGTTGCCTCATTGTTTGTGCATAATATTTAGAAGGGCCAAAGATTTTGGTGGAGGGGTTTTTTCACTTGCAGCTACTGTTATGAGTGATTTAATTCACAAAGACCCTACTTGTTTTTCTGTCTTAGATGCTGCTGGTCTTCCTGCTGCCTTTCTTGATGCTGTAATGGATGGTGTTGTCTGCTCTGCAGAAGCAATAACATGCATTCCTCAGTGTCTGGATGCTTTATGTCTAAACAACAATGGCCTTCAGGCCGTCAAAGACCGCAATGCTTTAAGGTGCTTTGTGAAAATATTTACTTCGAGGACTTATTTGTGTTCCCTTGCTAGTGATGCTTCAGGATCATTATCTAGTGGGCTTGATGAACTTATGCGTCATGCATCTTCTCTCCGTGGGCCTGGAGTGGATATGCTGTTAGAAATCTTGACTTCCATTGTAAAAATAGGATCTCCGGTTGATGCTTCTTGTATGTCAATTGATCCGTCATGCTCTTCTACTGCAGTTCCCATGGAGACTAATGTTGAAGAAAGGAAATCTGTCCTTTCAGATGATAAGGCAACTGCCAAGACGGGAAACTTGGAGCAAAGTGGTGATGAGCTATTTCTTGATCAATCTATTACAAATCCAGAGTCATTTCTTCCTGATTGTGTGAGCAACGCTGCCCGTCTTCTTGAAACAGTTCTTCAAAATGCTGATGCATGTCGCATATTTGTTGAGAAGAAGGGTATTGAAGCTGTATTGCAGTTAATTTCTTTGCCCTTGATGCCCCCATCTGTGTCAGTTGGTCAGAGCATCTCTATAGCCTTCAAAAGCTTCTCACCTCAGCATTATGCTTCTCTTGCTCGTGTAGTATGTACATTTTTGAAAGAGCATCTGAAATCAACAAATGAGTTCTTGATATCCATTAAGGGGTTACATCTTTCTCTAGTTGAATCTTCGAAGCAAACTAGGGGTTTGAAACATCTTTCATGTCTAGAAAGTATACTGTGTTTGTGCAACTTTTTGTTGAAGGGGACTACAACTTTGGTTTCTGAACTGGGAATTTCCGATGCTGATATATTGAAAGATATTGGATGCACTTACAGGGAAATAATTTGGCAAATTTCTTTGGATAATCATTCAAAAACAGATGACAAGAAAAGTGCGGATCAAGAATCAGAAAGTTCAGATGCAACTCCTTCAAATTCTCCTGGAAGAGAGAGTGATGATGATGCAAACATGCCAGTGGTGAGATACATGAATCCAGTTTCCCTTAGAAATGGTTCTCATTTGTGGGGTGGGGAGCGTGAGTTTCTCTCTGTTGTTCACTCTAGTGAAAGTCTCCATCGCCGTAGTCGACATGGGTTGCGCTTACGAGGTGGAAGAAGTGGACGATATCTAGAGCCTTTTAATATTGTTTCTGAAGCTTCTGCTGGAATTCCAGAGGCATCATCTACTCCAGAGTTGAAAAAGAAAAGTCCTGAGGTTCTTGTCTCTGAAATTTTGAACAAGCTTGCTTCAACATTGCATGCTTTCTTCACAGCTCTTGTCAAGGGATTTACATCATCCAACCGTCGTAGAGTTGACTCTGGATCATTGAATTCTGCCTCAAAAGCTCTTGGAACTGCTGTATCCAAAATATTTCTTGATGCTCTTAGTTTCTCGGGGCATTCTAGTTCATCAGGACTTGATATTTCCTTGCCAGTGAAGTGTCAATATCTTGGAAAGGTTGTAGATGATATGGCAGCACTTACATTTGATGGCAGAAAGCGTACTTGTTATTCAGCTATGATTAATAACTTCTATGTACATGGTACCTTCAAGGAGCTAATTACAACATTTCAGGCTACAAGTCAATTGCTATGGTCACTACCATATTCTGTTCAAAATTCAGCAGTTGACCATGAGACGACAAATGAAGAAAGCAACTTGTCTCATAGTCCATGGCTATTTGATACGATACAGGGTTACTGTCGTGTGCTTGAGTATTTTGTTAGTTCTACGCTACTTTTGTCTCCAAATTCGGCATCCCAAGTGCAACAGCTCATTCAACCTGTGGCTGTTGGTCTGTCCATTGGATTGTTTCCTGTGCCAAGGGACCCTGAAGTTTTTGTTCGAATGCTGCAGGCCCAAGTTCTTGATGTGTTACTACCTATCTGGAATCATCCCAATTTTCCAAACTGTAATCCGTCATTCATTGCTTCCATTGTTTCTCTTGTTACACACATATATTCTGGTGTTAGTGATGTTAAACGAAATCACAATAGAATTGCTGGGACCACTAACCCACGGTTCATTCCCCCACCACCCAATGAAGCTACTATTGATACAATGGTTGAGATGGGTTTTACAAGGGAAAGAGCAGAGGAGGCATTGAGAAGGGTGGGAATAAATAGCGTGGAGATGGCAATGGAGTGGCTATTTACTCATGCTGAGGATCCTGTGCAGGAAGACGATGAACTTGCTCGTGCCCTTGCACTATCAATGGGGAATTCATCAGAATCATCTAAAGTAGATAATGGTGACAAATCTATGGATGTATTGACTGATGAGGGGCATGCAAAGGCACCTCCCATTGATGATATTCTGGCTGCATCGTTGAGATTATTCCAGAGTAGTGACAAAATGGCATTCACATTAACAGATTTGCTTGTGACTCTCTGCAACCAGAACAAGGGTGAAGATCGTCCCAGAGTGATGTCTTATCTTATTCATCAGTTAAAGCTTTGCCCCTTGGATTTGACAAAGGATAATGGAGCTTTAAGTATGTTATTGCATATTATTGCGTTGCTTCTTTTTGAGGATTGGAATGCTCGTAAAATTGCTGCACAAGAGGGCATTGTATCTGTTGTTATAGATATTCTGACAAATTTCAAGTCTAGAAATGCTGCTGCTCCTGCGGCTTCATTACCAAAATGTGTAAGTGCTTTATTGCTAATCTTGGACAGCATGTTACAGTGTCGACCCAAAATTATTTCTGAAAATACTGTTGGTTCTCCAGTGGGTTCTCCACCTGATTTGTCTGGTGGTGGGCAACTACCCATGTTAGCACCTATGTCCATTGGAGATGATAAAACTGATAAAACTACTCTAAATGCTGATAATAAAGAATCTGGGTCAGTATTTGAGAATGTACTGGGAAAGCCTACAGGTTATTTAACTGCTGATGAGTGTATTCAGATGATGCTGTTTGCATGTGACTTGATAAAACAACGTGTTCCTGGAGTAATCATGCAAGCAGTCCTACAGCTATGTGCACGGTTGACAAAAATTCATGCTCTTGCTTTGCAGTTTCTTGAAAATGGAGGTCTGGTTGAACTCTTTAATCTTCCAAGAACTTGTTTCTTTCCTGGTTATGACACTCTGGCTTCTGCTATTGTTCGACATCTTCTTGAAGACCCTCAGACTCTTCAAACAGCAATGGAAATGGAAATACGGCAAATTTTGGGTGGAAGGCGGCATGCTGAGCGTACAACTGCCTGTAATTTCTTGGCTTCAATGTCAGCTGTTATTTCCAGAGATCCCATGGTTTTCATGAAAGCCTCAGCTGCAGTTTGTCAGTTGGAGACATCAGGTGGCCATACTTTTGTTGTTTTATCAAAGGAAAGGGAGAAAGAAAAGGAGAAAGAAAATGAGGAGAGATCAAAAGTATCTGGAACGGAAGTTGGATTGTCTTCAAATGAAAGTGTCAAGATATCTGAAAATAAGATTTATGATGGATCAGGGAAATACTCCAAAAATCACAAGAAGATTCCTGCAAATCTCACTCAAGTAATCAACCAACTTATTGAAATTGTTGTCAAGTACCCGTTGGCACAAAACCGGGCGGATTCTGTTAGTAATTTCTGTTCTATGGAGGTAGATGAACCTGATACCAAGGTAAAGGGTAAATCAAAAGCTGTGGATAAAAACAATTTAGAGGATGAATCTGAAAAATCTACTGGACTGGCTAAAGTGACTTTTGTTCTTAAATTGTTGAGTGACATCCTTCTGATGTATGTGCATGCTGTAGGGGTCATTCTTAGACGTGATTCTGAAATGTGTCAACTTCGAGACTGTAATCATTTGGATAGTGCTGGACAAGGTGGGATTATTTACCATATTTTGCAACGATTACTTCCTCTTTCAGTCGATAAATCTGCAGGACCTGATGAATGGAGAGACAAGCTATCTGAAAAAGCTTCTTATTATCTCGTGGTTCTTTGTGGTCGTTCTAGTGAAGGTCGTAAACGAGTAATTAATGAGCTTGTGAAAGCATTATCTTTTTTTTCCAGCTCTGAAAGCAGCTCGAATAAGAACTCTGTCTTGCCGGATAAAAGAATTTTTGCCTTTTCTAATTTGGCATATTCTATATTGTCCAAAAATTCTTCTTCCAGTAACTTGCCAGGTTCAGGCTGCTCACCTGACATTGCTAAAAGCATGATTGATGGAGGAATGGTTCAATGTCTGACTAATATTTTACAAGTGGTTGATCTGGACCACCCTGATGCTCCTAAAATTGTGAACCTTATATTGAAGGCTCTGGAAAGCCTGACGAGAGCTGCCAATGCCAGTGAGCAAATAATGAAGTCTGATGGAATGGTGAAAAAAAAATCTTCAGGGTTAAATGAGAGGCTTGGTGACCAGATAAATACAGTCTCAACTGATGACACTATTGGGCAAAACCAAAATGCTGGCAGTCAACAGTTGGTCAGAGAGGCAGCTGAAAATAATCAGCAAGAATTTGCTACTGCTCAAAATGATGGCAATGTACACACTCAATCAAATTGGTCCCTTGAGCGGGAAATGAGATTAGAAGTGGAAGGGACAATGGCTGCAAACCTGCATATGGACCTTGGAACGGAGTTTATGCGTGAGGAGATGGGAGAAGCTGGCGTCTTGCACAATTTGGACCAAATTGAGATGAGCTTTCATGTAGAGAACAGGGCAGATGAGGAGATGGGTGATGAAGATGATGATGCAGAAGATGATGATGACGACGATGATGGGGAGGATGTGGATGAGGATATAGCTGAAGATGATGGTGGAATGATGTCCCTGCCAGATACTGATGATACCAGACTGGCAGATGACTACAATGATGAAATGGTAGATGAAGAGGATGATGATTTTCATGAGAATAGAGTCATTGAGAACAGGTGGAGGGAGGCACTTGATGGATTGGATCATCTACAGGTACTTGGGCAGCCTGGAGGTGCTAGTGGGCTTGTTGACGTTGCTACTGAACCTTTTGAAAATGTTGATGACCTTTTTCGTTTCCGGAGGCCTCTATACTTTGAACGCCGCCATCAGACTGGTAGGTCCTCCTTTGAGCGATCTGTTGTTGAAGTGAATGGTTTCCAGCATCCTCTATTACTTAGGCCATCCCAGTCAGGAGATATGGTGTCGATGCGGTCATCTACTGGGAATTTATCTCGTGACTTGGATACTTTATCATCTGGGAGTTATGATGCATCCAACTTTTATGTGTTCGATGCTCCCGTTTTTCCATACAACCATGTGGAAAATAATTTATTTGGTGGTGCGGCTCCACCTCCCTTGGCTGACTATCCTATCGGTATACATTCATTGCCTTTTGCAGGAAGAAGAGGGCTGGGTAATGGTCGTTGGACTGATGATGGTCAACCTCAAGGAAGTACTCAGGCTATTACAGTTGCTCAGGCTGTTGAGGAATTGTTTGTATCTTATATGCATAGCATTATGCCTGCAGAAAGACTGCCTCAAAATTTAGGAGTTCAGGATAAACAACTGGATACCCTTCCGTCCATTAATAATCGAGTAGTAGCAGAATCTGGTAATGCTAGAAGTCAACAAAACGACGACCAGAATCCAGATAACTCTGTTGAAGCCTCACATCATGAAACAAATGTAACTGTTGAGAGTGCTATTTCCCATCACGTCAATTCAGAATCTATAATTGAAGAAGCTGTGGAAAATGTGCAGGAGCATGAACCTATGTCTATTCAACCTCATGCACCGGATATTACATTGAGTGAACATGACAGGATGGATATGGGAGAACAAAATGGTGCTTCTGATCAGCAGATTGAGACATTACCTCAGTTCGACAACCTGGATTGTGATGGAACTTTTGAACTGCCTACAGATCTTCATGAAATGCCATCTCAGGCCATATACCGTCCTGGTTCTTCTGAAATGGATGCCGTTGATGGGAATCATGTAGTATCGAACTTTGGATTAGAGACGCCTAATCCTGGTGATTGCCAGGTCTCTTCTGCTGGTGCAAGTGTTAATGTTGACATGAATGATAATGATGCTGAAGAAATTCTTACTGAGCAACATATTCCAACATCTGAGAACGGTAGAGGTGGGTCAACTTCAGAGCAAAATGTGCAGGTTGCTCCGGATGTTAACCAGGCAGATCAAAGTAGAATGAGTAATGAAGCCTCTGGTGCTAATGCTTTAGATCCTACTTTTTTAGAGGCATTACCTGAGGACTTGCGAGCAGAAGTTCTTGCATCACAGCAAGCTCAGCCCATTCAACCTCCTACTTATGCTCTACCCTCAGCGAATGATATTGATCCTGAATTCTTAGCGGCACTTCCTCCTGGTATCCAAGCAGAAGTCTTGGCCCAGCAGAGAGCACAGAGTGTTGCTCAGCAGGCAGAGGGACAACCAGTTGATATGGATAATGTTTCTATCATTGCTACACTTCCTGCTAATTTGCGGCAAGAAGTTCGAATCTTGGACTTTATCTGTGTCCATTTCTCAATATGTTTTTGTTTCTTAGTTTAACCATTTTTCCTTCTTGTTTTGCAGGTTCTGTTAAACTCCTCGGAGGCAGTTTTGTCAGCACTCCCTTCTTCATTGCTAGCTGAAGCTCAGATGCTTAGAGATCGAGCAATGAGTCACTATCAGGCTGGCACTCTCTTCAGTAACACCCAAAGACTGGGCAATCGAAGGAATGGCCGCCTCGGTTTCAATAGGCAGACAGTGATGGACAGGGGTGTTGGAGTTACAATTGGTGGTAGAACAGCTTCTGCCATTGCAGATAGCCTGACGATGAAAGAAATTGAAGGCGAACCACTTCTGGATGGAAAATCGTTAAAATCTTTAATACGACTTCTAAGATTAGCCCAGGTAATGTAATATCATATGTTATAATGATTTGAGTGATTTTTACCCATTGGATGATTTTTGAACTAAATTTACATTTTATAGTTACTGGACAGTTTATGCAGTTTAGAGTGTATTTTTAACACAGGCCATACTGATATCTGCAAATAGATTTATTATTTTTGTGTATACTTGAGTCTGATCCTAGGATTTAAGTATTTAATGCTTTCTTTTGATGAACTGAGGGTTAAATACAAGTTGAGGTTGAATTGTTATGGAATTATGAATGTAGTTTTGATCTGCTGTTACGTGAATAATTAATTAGATATTTGTTCTTACCATTCGGTTCTTTTTATATAATAAAATAGTTTGATTTCCATATTTTTCATAAAACAATAATTGGTTTTGTTTCGTGTTCTATTGGAAAAGTTCTTTCAATTGATGAAAGGAGATTTTTTACCTTTTAATGAGGTAGCCATGTTTAAAAATTGTACTGTCTGGAAAATTAAAATTTAGGTGTTCTGCTGCAGGTATTCTCCACCTAATGTGGTATTTTATTTTTTTCTTATGTTGTCCAGCCGCTTGGAAAAGGTCTATTGCAGAGACTTTTGTTTAACCTTTGTGCTCATAGTGTTACAAGGACAATTCTAGTTTACCTTTTACTAGATATGATCAATTCCGAGGCTGAAGGTTTTGTGGGTGGAGTTGCAACAATCAATTCTCAGAGGCTTTATGGTTGTCAGTCGAATGTTGTTTATGGTCAATCACAGTCGGATGGTAGTACATTCTTCCCTTAATTTTTGTCTCATTTTTTCATTACTATATTTATACTTTTTATGTATCGTAACAGGTCTTCCTCCTTTGGTGTTGCGTCGTATTCTTGAGATTTTAACTTATTTGGCTACAAATCATTCTTCTGTTGCCAATATGTTATTCTACTTCGACCTGGAGGCTTTCCCTGAGGATTTGAGTTCTACATTCATGGAAACTAAGAAGGGGAAGGAGAAAGTTGTGGCAGGACTTCTATCAAGTAATGTAAAAAAGTGTCGAGCTGGAATTGTTCCTTTGGTTCTATTCCTGAAGCTTTTGAATCGACCACTTTTCTTGCGTAGTGTTGTGCGTCTTGAACAGGTATGATGGATTGAAAAGAGAAGAGCATTGGTTGAAATGACTTGAGCTCAATTTTTCCCTTGGGCGCAAATGCTGCATGCTTCTTTGCAGATTTTGGATATTATTATGCTTTAACATTTATGCTTTTCCCTCTCCCCATTTTCTAATTAAAAAAATCCATATGTTGCAGGTTATGTGCCTCCTTCAAGTAGTTGTTCATATTGCATCATCAAAACTAGAGCATCAGTCCCGGTCTGAACATGGAACAGGAAATCCCCCTATTTTGCCTGTTAATGAAGCTAGTGTTGTTTCAAAGTATCCTGCTTTGCCTGAGGGAGAATCAAAGCAAGAAAGAAGTGATGCTGCTGGGTCAACTTCAGGTGGAAAAAGGAGTAATGACATACATAATATCTTCTTGCTACTGCCGCAGTCTGTTTTGTGCAATTTATGCGCACTTCTTGGCCGCGAGGGGTATTCATCTTCCAATTTATAATGTCTTTTGAGTTGTCTACCTTAATTCTATTGGCGTGTGATGATAACCAATTAGTTATTGGTTTCCATTTAGCTTTTATATTGACTTTGGGGGAATGACTTTTGAGAAAGTGTTTTTAAGTAAGACAGTTATTCTGCAAGCACACTCGGAAGAAGAGTTTAAAAGCATTTGAAGTGTTTTTTAGTGTTTTGGAGAATACTTTATTTATGCAACGAAAGTTCATACACATTTTAAAAAGGGGTTTTAATTAGTTAAAAGCACATATTCACTGTGTCATGACAAACTCACATTTAACCTAATCTTTTAAAGATTTTTTTGTCCTGCAAATGTTTTGTTTTTTTATTTCACTTGAAGAAACTAATTTTGTGTGGTAACTGGTGTTTAGGCTTTCTGATAAAGTATATGCGCTAGCTGGTGAGATACTGAAAAAGTTGTCCTCAGTTGTGGCACCCCATCGAAAATTCTTCATGTCAGAACTCTCAGAACTTGCTAATGGCTTGAGCAGCTCTGCTATCAGCGAGCTTGTTACCTTGAAGAATACGAACATGTTAGGTTTAAGTGCTAGTTCAATGGCTGGGGCAGCAATTGTACGTGTTTTGCAGGTTCTAAGTTCACTTACTTCCCCTTGTGCGAGGGAGACCATAAATTCAGTGTGTGACATTGAATTAGAGGAGCAAGCCATCATGTGGAGGTTGAATGTGGAACTAGAGCCATTGTGGCAAACATTAAGTGATTGTATAAGTGTGATTGAGACACAACTGTCTCAGAGCTCCTCTTTCACTACGCCAATTAATGTTGGGGGGCTACTCCAGGGCACTATCTCTTCCTCTCCTCTACCTCCTGGAGGTCAGAGACTCCTGCCATTCATTGAGGCTTTCTTTGTTTTGTCTGAAAAGCTTCAAGCAAATCTATCCATTTTGCAACAAGATCATGCCAATATTACTGCAAGAGAGGTCAAAGAGTCTGCTGGCAGTTCAGACACATTAAGCATGAAGGGTGCTGATTATCAGAAAAAGTCTGATGGTGCTGTTACATTTACAAGATTTTCTGAGAGGCATCGCCGTCTTTTGAATGCTTTTATTAGACAAAACCCAGGCTTATTAGAGAAGTCACTTTCAATATTGTTGAAGGCTCCTAGGCTGATTGATTTTGATAATAAGAGAGCCTATTTCCGTTCAAGAATTAGGCAACAGAATAAGCAACATATTTCTGGTCCATTGCAGATCAGTGTTCGTCGGGCCTATATTTTGGAGGATTCATATAATCAGTTGCGTAAGCGTCCAACTCAAGATTTGAGAGGACGGTTGACTGTGCAGTTTCAAGGTGAAGAGGGTGTTGATGCGGGTGGCCTGACAAGAGAATGGTATCAGTTACTTTCAAGGGTTATTTTTGACAAGGGAGCCTTGCTATTCACTACAGTTGGAAATAATGTAACTTTCCAGCCAAATCCAAATTCTGTCTACCAAACAGAACATCTTTCCTACTTTAAATTCGTTGGCCGTGTGGTAATTGACTAAAACTGGGATTCTGATATTTGCTAGGATTATTTTGCTGTTTCAATTTGACTTATTATATTTTCAATTTTATGCAGGTTGCAAAGGCCCTGTTTGATGGGCAACTTTTGGATGTTTATTTCACAAGATCTTTCTACATGCACATTCTTGGGGTTAAGGTGACTTACCATGATATAGAAGCAGTCGATCCTGATTATTATAAGAACTTGAAGTGGATGCTGGAGGTGGGTTGATTTTCTGTGTTAATTAAAGTTAAATTTGATTTTAGGTGATATTGTCCATGCTCTCGGCTTTGCTTTTGGGCTTTCCCAAAAGGCCCTATACCAATGAAGATGTATTCCTTACTTATAAACCCAGGATCATCCTCTAATAAATTAGTCATTGTGGGACTCCCTCCCAACAATCCTCCCCTCAAACAAAGTACATCATAGAGCCTCCCTTGAGGTCTATGTAGCCCTCGAACAGTCTCCCCTTAATTGAGGCTCGGCTTCTTTCTCTGGAGCCTTAGAACAAAGTACACCTTTTGTTCAACACATGAGTCACTTTTTTACAATACCTTTGAGCCTAGCCATTTCTTTGTTTGACACTTGAGGATTCTATTGATATGGCTAAATTAAGGGTATAACTCAGATACCATGTTAGGAACCACAACCCTCCACTATGGTATGATATTGTTCACTTTGAGCCTAAGCTCTCATGGTTTTGCTTTAGGTTTTCCCAAAATACCTCATACCAATGGAGATGTATTCCTTACTTCTAAACCCAGGATTATCCTCTAAATTAGCCGATGTAGGACTCCCTTTCCAAGAATGCTCAACAAAACTTGGGTTTTATTTTTTTATTTTTTTATTTTTTTTACATTTTATTTCCTAACTCTTGAATCTCTCTGTCAGAACGATGTGAGTGACATTCCTGATCTTACATTTAGCATGGATGCAGACGAGGAGAAGCACATTCTTTATGAGAAAAATGAGGTCATAATCCAAAAATTTGGACACCTGTCAATCCTGTTTTTGTGTGTGTGGTAAATGCTTTTCTTTTTCGAATGAATTCTGGTACTACTTAGTCTTTTTAATATTCTTTTCAAATTTTTAGGTCACTGATTACGAGCTTAAGCCAGGAGGAAGAAATATAAGGGTTACTGAAGAAACAAAGCATGAATATGTAGACCTTGTCGCAGATCATATTTTAACCAATGCTATCCGCCCTCAGATTAACTCATTTCTAGATGGTTTTAACGAGCTCGTGCCTCGAGAACTTATTTCTATTTTTAACGACAAAGAGCTTGAGTTACTCATCAGTGGGCTTCCAGAAATTGATTGTGAGTTCTCTTACACAAAATAATTTTGTGGTCTGGTGTTTCGGGTTACTATATGAGGTTTTAATCTTTTTTATATTGTCTTTCAGTGGATGATTTGAAGGCAAACACAGAGTATACTGTCTACACAGCTGCATCAAGTGTTGTGCAGTGGTTTTGGGAGGTAGTTAAATCCTTTAGTAAGGAAGACATGGCAAGATTGCTGCAGTTTGTGACTGGAACATCAAAGGTAATGGCAAAATAAAATGTTGTTCAAGTCTGTTTGATTATCTTTTCTATAAGATTTCATCAACATTTTTAATGTTTCCCTCATGGTTGGTCCCAATCTGATGCTTGAAATATTGCCCTTTCTGGGGATGTTTGAAATGGTTGGTATATGTTTAGTCTTTTTAGTCTCGAGCATCGTGCACTCGTAACATCTTGGTTCGCAAGTAAAGAGATCTTGTCACACAAACACTAATATTTTCGTAGCATAATGATTTTTTCTTGAAGTCATCATTTATTTGTGATTTTTCAGGTTCCACTGGAGGGTTTTAAAGCTTTGCAAGGTATCTCTGGGCCTCAAAGGTTTCACATTCACAAGACATATGGAGCTCCTGATAGGTTACCATCAGCCCATACATGGTGGGAATCTAAATGCCGTTCTATCCGTATTCTTATTTATGCATTTGTTCCTATTCTATTGTTTTTTGGGCATTCAATCTTCTGAGAAATATTCTGTCTTCCAGCCTTAACGAACAAGTTCTCACATCCTTTCTTTCAGCTTTAATCAACTAGATCTTCCCGAGTACTCATCAAAGGAGCAGCTTCAGGAACGCTTGATGCTTGCCATTCACGAAGCCAGTGAAGGATTCGGCTTTGGTTGAGCCATGGTTCGATTTGCATTTGGAGACCAATGTTATCTGAAATTGCCATGTACATGTTAGTGAAATACAAAATTGATGGGCAGCCCCGGCATTGGAAAACTTGCAAGGATCGATCGAGTTCTCTGGAAGATAAATAAAAAGCTTGCAACCGAGCAGACAGATTACTGTGGGTTCGTTTGAAGACTTTGACGTGCAGATCACTCGCTCCTCTTGCAGCCAACAAACTAAACTACGTCTGAGGAGTAGTCGGCCTTGTTATGTTTCTGTATATAAACGTCAGGTTGGTAATAAAAACACTGAATGTATATCTTTTTCTGAATGGATGGCTTAAACTTCGTCCTCAATCATTTTGGTTTTTTGTTTTACAGGTGGTCAGATTTGGTGGAAAACAACAGAAACAAGCATAGCCATAGCCAGCTTGAGCTTGTTCCTAGGGATAATTTGTTGAGCTTTTTGTCCTTATTTCAAGGGGCCATTGTTCTTAGTTTCTTTCTTTTAAATGATTGGTGAGAGGTAAGGGGATTTTGTTTCTAATATTTCTACTAACTTTGTATATTGGTATTGGTAATTCTTTCTTATTGGTTTAATAAGAAAAAAAAAAAAAAAATGGACTGAAAAAGAAGGTATTGTACTCAATGTGTCGATGGGTCTTTCAAGTCTCTTTTTTATCGAAGTCACTCCCATTATTTGCTCATTTAGGGTTTAGAATTTAGGGTTTGGACCATTGGCAGTAAGCCTAGCCCCCGTGGGCTATTCGAGAGTGAAACCCAAAATTGAGACTTGATGGTTCGTCTTCACTTAAAATTGTAGAATGAACCCTCGACCTTCTCCTTCGTTTCACAACTCCAAAGTACTACTATGCTCCTAAAGTACTACTATGCTCCTAAATCTCCAACAACTTCATTGAAAACTCGAGAGTTCTTCCTTTATAAGTGTGTGAGAGTATTTCACCACGTTGGAAATCTCGGAATTTGCTAAAAGGTCTAAATATATTTCTTTTTATTCCATTTCAATTTGTTTTCTTATGATTTTAAAAGTTTCTACCGAAAATTGATTAAATATCTAAATTGTTTTAAAGTTAGGTAAGAAAAATAAAAACATTTTAAGCTATTAAAAATATTTTAGAAGACATAACTGTTAAGTGCGAAAATATTCATTTAAAATATCTAAAAAATGAGAATGTTCGTAACAAAAATCTTAAAACAAAATTACGATGAATAATAAAATGACGAATCCATTGAGAAGCTGATCTAGAACTGACGAACTTCAACTGGGTCTAAATAGCTCAAGTAGTATGAAAGGGAGCCACTGTTACAACTTAATAAGCCAAAAGATCGACTTTAAAACAAATCCAACTCCTACTCAGACTAGACAACTCTTATTTTTAATTTTAATTTTGAGTTTTTACCACTTTTAAAATTTCATAGGTATTTTTATTTATTTATTTACGATATTAATATTATTAATAGAAAAAATATATTAATTTTTTTTAAAAAAGAGTTTTAAGATTATTATGGAAAATTTGTTATTTTTAGCTTTTTAATTAATTTAGCCGATATTTATTATTATTATTATAATTATTTAGAATCGAAATAAAAGGCAGCAGTTGGAGGCCGATTTGGCATAAACAAAATCTCTTCTTCTTGTCTCTCTCGCTCGCTCCTCTTCTTCTCCTGGTGTCGCCATTCTCTTCCTTCCCTTCTTCCGTTCTTCGTTTTGGCCGATAATCTTCTCCTTTTTCCCAATTTCTGCAATCATGGCGGTATGTCATTCCTCAATTGATTCCATTTACTTCCCAGAATTCGGTTTTGTTCTTTTGCTTGATTGTGTCGATTTCCCCATTTCGTCATCTCCTTTATTTCTTCCTTTTAGATTCACTGCCTCGATTGTTCCCCCTTTTTTCTTGGAGATTTTCTTAATGCTTGTAATGCCTGGATTTTCTTCTCCATTATCATTATTATTATATGTTTTATTTCTTCCTCTTCGTTAAATTCAAATTATTTATTTATAATTTTTGTGATATGTTGTGAATCTACATCTGTATTGTTTGAATTTTTTGAAATGTTTCCTCTCCAGTCTGATCTTATCATCTAGTGTGTTAGTCACTGTGACTCGACAAAGGATATTTAAAATTTCAATCAGCTGTAGAGAAACATTTTTAGCCTTTCCCATCACCTTCTCATCTTTTTATCTCGCAATTCCTTCGTCTAATTTATGATTTCTGCTATTAATTATCAATCATCCTATTTTTATATCATTAATGGAAGAAAAAGCAGTAAGTCCTTCAACTTTTTACTTCGAAATCCATGATCTATATTTTAAGAGACTAAACGTTCAAAATTTAAATCCTTATTTTCATTATTCATTGTATGACTGCTTTTGATCGACAAATCTGAACACTTTTGTTGGGTTAAATTATAAATTTAATCGATGTACTTTGGCTCTGTCTAGTCCTTTGAGCTGTTGAACTTTTCAATTTGGTCTTAAAATTTGGATTACGCTTTTCTCTAATGCTTTCCATTGCATTATTAATAGAAACTGATGTAGAAGATATATTGCATAAATTTTCGTTGGACATTTCATTAATATTGTTAATTGTTAATGATAGGGACGAGATATAAGCATAATGTATGCTTTTAATGTTTAGAATCAGATAAATGTATGTATTTTAACAGGAGAAGGGTCAGCCACTACCGAAGTTTGGTGAATGGGATGTTAATAACCCTGCTTCTGCAGAGGGCTTCACTGTGATCTTTAATAAGGCAAGATGTGAGAAGAAATCCGGTGGCCAAATCGAATCACCTGGAAAGGCACTAAGGCCTGCAGCAGCAGGCTCTGGCAAACCTCAGGCTGTAAGATCCTATGAACACAATGTTTTTTCCTAGCCTCTTCTATAATGCCTGCTATATGTATATATCCCTCCTCTTCATTGTGATATTTACTGCTCGTTCGTGCGCCTAAATATGTTTGGAATACCATTAGGATAAAAGGGCTGGTTGTGTAACTTGAGGGAATGGGATTGAAAGAGATGAAGGTAGATCGTTTGTTGGTTTTGGATGAGTATGAATATTCTTGAAGGCTGATCCCTGCCAATCACTACCTTTTTATATTTCGATATTATTTCAGTTATTTGGTTTCTATGAAAATATTAACTTTCTTCTAAGCGTTATCTTATAATGGACTTCTGTGCTTGTTTGATCATTCTTCATTGAAATGAAATAGATGTTTTTGGACTTTGGAATGATGCTCAAGCACTGTTTTTTGCTTCTTTTGGTTTAATCAACAATCAGTGAGGAGAAATGAAATAGATGCTTGTTTGATCATTCTTTATGAGCTGTTACACCTTTCCTTGATGGGATTATGTTTTTTGCTGTTCCAGAAATGGTTCTGCTGCATTCAAAGCCCACCTACAGAATCTTGATGGTACTACCTGTCTGTAGATAACCACCGAAACGGCCTAAGATGTCCACTGGTCTTCGAAGAAGATGAGATTTTCAAAGCTGTGATCATCAGCCTGCTATACTATTTGCTTCATAATCTGGGTCATGGAGGAAAAAGGTAGAACAATTTTACCTTCTTTGTTTGTGATACTGATGTGATGAATTGTCACTAGAAGCTGAGCTATTCCATCTCATTTGTCTCTACCTCCTTTTTGCCCCTTTTTGCCCTTTATATCTTATATTCAATCTCTATTATTGTTTCTGAAATGGCTTCTCTCTCTCTCTCTCTCTCTCTCTTTTGTTTCATTTTCCTGTGTAGAATATTCTAGCCTACTCTGAAACTCCGTATCAAAGTGAAAAATGGGGTTGGGGTTGCTCCCTCAGCAAAACTAGGATAAAGTTGCCCCAAAAGATCCCAATTCAAGATAAATTCATGAGGAAGTGGAATCTCTTTAGGATTTACTCCAGCATTTAGAAATTGGTTAATCGGTAAAGATACGTGTACTTGATGAAAAAACCCCTTAGAAAAACTCCATGCCTCAGCCCATGAATCTCGAGAATCGAGCGTAGACCACATTTTCATGCTTCCTAAACCATGGAGTATGATTTTTATGTTGAAATTATTGACAAACGTTAGAAGTGAGGACTTTAAATGGTTTATGAGCCATTTAGAAAGTAATTATCGAACCACTCACAAACCAAACATGATGTGCTCTATAGTTACGGAAAGAAAAAAACAGAAAAAACAATGGATAACTCTTCAGCCTTTGCATCACTTGTTCTGCCATCCTCCTCATACCACTAGCCAGAGTTTGAATCTGCCATAGGAGTTTGATTATAGGTTCCCGACCTTCTTCTCGAATAGGCGTCGTAAGAGGAAAACTTGTAGACTGCTCGCACCGACGAGTACTGCTGATTCGAATATGGCCTTCTGAATTGCCCTTATGCTAATTGCTTCAATCACTGCAAGAATTTCTTCACTTTATTGAAAACACTCTCAAGAAAACTATAGGGTTTATAAAGCCTTGTGGTTATATAATACCTTTGGCCTGTTGCTTTGTCTGTGCCTCAAACCATTCTTGCTCAAACTCAACAATCTCCAGTTTGTCTCTCAGCCTCTGTATTTGCTCAAGCAAATGGCTCAAATCTTCTGAAAATGTCATTTGAAATAGAAGATCAATAACGGCCCATGCCACCACTAGCAAATATTATCCTCAAGGCTTTAAAATGCGTATGCCAGGGAAAGTTTTCCACACCCTTATAAAAGGTGTTTCGTTCTCCTCCCCAACCAATTTGGGATATCACAATGCACCTCCTTTAGGGCCTAGCGTCCTTACTAGCACACCGCCTTGTTGGCACATTGTTCGGTGTCTGACTCTGATACCATTTATATTGTTCTCTTTGGGCTTCCCCTCAAGGCTAACGCGTATGTTAGGGAAAGTATTCCACACCCTTATAAAGGTGTTTTGTTTTCCTCTCCAACTAATGTGGGATATCAAATAATCAAATAGGGAAAAAAATGTCTTTAAGGTTAAAAATCAATACCGTTTTCCGAGGGTAGTTCATAGAATTGATTATTGTCAAAATCTATGGTCTCTTGGTCAGCAGATTTGTTTGTGAAGCATAAGCTATGTAGTCCTTTTCTTCCTTCAATCCTCTCCTCTGGAGATCCATTCACCTGTACAATGATCTATAAATAATCAAAAACCTCACCTCGAAACGTGAATCAATAACCATGGCTCGAACCCTAATTTGAGATGAGCCAAAACACATATGGAATAAGGTTTTGATTTCTTAACCATAACTACGACGTATATAACCCTAACGCATGAGTCGAAGTAAGCTGTTACTAGAAGATCAATTGGTATCGCTAACGAATCCAACCTGGTGAGAAAAGCAATCTTCTTGGTCGATCATTAACTTAATCTCGAACTTAGCCTCTGATGAAACCAACAAAGTCACCATTACGATCGTTAACCAAACTCTTAGCATCATATGTTCTTCTTATTTGACGCTCTTTTCCTATCTCTTGTGGAAGGATTTTTTTGAGATACCAACAAAATTGCAAAAATGGTTTAGATATATATAATTTAAATTTGTGATTCAAAAAGATTTGGGATCAAGAAGATAGACCAATGATTTACGAAATTAATCTTTTGTTGAAAAT